AAACCTAATAATGATCAATTTGTATCGTATTAGTGTAAATATATGAATATAATGAATGCCTAAGTCATTATGCAAAGGCTTCCAAGGCTTATTTCTGACCCCGGTCAAAAAAGTGACAATGTGTCAAGTTGTTGTATAAAGGCTTCTAAAGCTCATTTCTGACCTCGGTCAGAAAATTGACAGTAGTATCAAGTCATTGTACATGTAATCGAATTACTCAAAAATACAGAGAAAAAAATGCACAAATAATGCAGGTCACGAGGTCAAGAAATTCTGCTTACTAAAAAGGCCCATGGGCGCCCACGGTGTCCATGGACAATGGGCCCTAAGGGTAGGGCCCGTCCATGGGCGTATGGATAGTGCCCATCGCCCGCTTACATAAGGCCCGTGGGCACTGCCCACCCGCCCGTCCATGGGCGATGTCGCAGTCTAGGTCATATTATGAATTCCCGTCGCCACCTTTGCTGCCCCGACCTCCTATTCCCCGCTCACCCTCTACGTCTACCTTTATACTAAAACACTTAATACAGATGTCTTCTTCCCGGTTGAGGCCGATTCGACCTCATACGCTCACTACCAAAACCTCGGTAGTAGACTGCGGCATATCCGCTCCAATGGATATCAGATCGATCCTTATATCCGCACTAGTAAAATCTCGCTAAAATTACCAGATCTAGTAATTTTTATGCATATCTCTATGGATTTTAGTCATATGACCTCCTAAATAGGAAGTTTCTTGGCATGTCTTAGCGTGTTTGCTCTGTTTGATATCCATTGGATATCCGCAGATATCCAATGGATATGAGGTCTATATCCAAATCCTCAAGGCTGCGGATATTGGATATCAAAAAATATCCAAATCCGCACTTTGCGGATATGGATTGTGGATATCCGCGGATATTGCGGATCGTGCCGCAGTCTACTCGGTAGACGATGAATCGGGAAAAGTCATATTACAAGACGACTTAAAAACGCGAAGACTCTCAGCAGCCTGCAAAGAGTGTCAGCGTCGGCGGACCAAAGTAAGGACCCTAAATCATATCGCATACTTAGCTGTTAACTTCTTGATGTCTCAAACAACAGTGCAGTTCAGGAAATCCGTGCTTGGAATGCACGAAGCGTGGCTCTATTTGCATATTCGATAAGAGCTCCGACAGGCGACGCAAAAGCTACGTAAGGAAGATGGAAGAAGAACTTTGTTACTATCAGAGGTTTTTGGACGACTTTCTAAGGGCAATCAGGAAATCTAATGATGATGACGTCTATCACATCATCAATATTGTGCGGTCGGGATCATCAACCAGTGGAATACAATCTGAGGTGAACAACGTTCTTACGGGGAATAATTATTCTGCGCCCGCAGTATGATCTATGCAGAACCACTCAACAAAGCTCTGAGCGGATTTCACAGATAGGTCCGATGCGGGAGTCAACCTCATTTATATATTTTCATACTTGCCGGACCTGCAGATGCCAGTACTGTATTTTCTGTGAAAGTACTACAGTTAATTTACGAAACTATCTATCACGTGATGGCCTCTTTCAATACGATAAGGCTTTATCGGATTTTTTTACTATGTGCGTCCTAGTGCCTGTATAACAGATTCAGTCCTCCAAAAGCCTCAGTCAGACCCGTGCAGGCTTGCGATGGTACACAGCCATGATTACGGGACCTCCATTTACGAGCGCAAACAAAATTGCATATTAAATAAAAGTTTTCGGTGGTTGCAAAAGGTTCAGTGCATTGATTTCTGAACGCTTTCTACTATATACAAGCCTTCTTAACTTGAAAGCAAATAACCTAGGTGCAGTAAAATGATTCGCTAGTTACAAGATAAGGAGTGACTAATTTCGAGTGACTAATCTGGGTGGGCCATACCCACATACCGCGACCATCTTCAGAAGAATCTATTGGAAGGATAGTAGTCCTGGCAATGAGAGCATAATGACCAAATACTGACGTAACTCAGCTTAGCTTGAATTCGGAGTCACTCGCATTCACAGAAAACTGCCATGTACACCCGTCTGCGGGGGTCACTGTCAGTTTGATTTGTTGTTTTTGGGATTTCCGAATTCTGCTGACTTTGCTCTCTACCTGAAGCCCTTCTTTTTCTTTGCAAATAGTCAGCAGCCCCATCATAGACCATGCACAGACCAGATGACGAGTTCATCAATCAGTTCAGGGAGAGATTCGGGGACCTTCTGTTGAGCTGCCATGGCAATCGAGGAAGGACCGACGCTCAAGTTGACGTGGGTAATTTAGTGTTCTCTGCTAGCCATGCGAAGGAAGATGAGCCCATCGATGTTATATGCGCAGACAAGGCGAACACCGGTCGTACATTGAGACTAGAGAAGGGTTTGTTGAATCCCCGCAATTTTCATGCACTCGGTTCGATCTCTCCGATGAAAAGTGCTAAAAAGCAAGAGACATTCCATGATCGCAATCTACTGGGGTCGGAAGCGGTCTTTCACAATAAGGCAGGAGACATCAACTCTCCAATGACGCGGTGGACCACAAAGATCTCGCCCTTACTTGATGATATTCAGCACGCCCCACAGATTTCTTGGAACGGGCCCGATGGCTTCACTCCGCTGGCTGAGTCTCAACGTTGGCTATGTGGCAATACATATTTTGGACACACAGATGATATCTCCAGGACTCTTATGCGCCACGATTCTGGATATGCCACAGTAGATGGAGCCGATGAGGATATTCTGGCCGATATTCTCAGTGAACAACCAGACTCAAACTCAGACTTGGCCACATCGGAGGGCCACTTCAATGAACATTGGCAATATAGCGACGGAGAAAAGTATGGATAATCCCCGACATGCTGCATATACAATTTATATTTACTAGTTGTCTTCATAGTTTTCGTTACCATGTGATGCTGCAAGCCCCGACAGCAATGCTTCGGCATGCCGATGAAAGTCCAGTGACATACCTCGATAAAGGTCAAACATACAGCCTCACGGTGGCAGATACTGCGCTGCCCACAAAGAAGGCCGGAATTTTTGAATATAGAACGTTCGTGCATGTGTCCTTCGAAGCAGAAGCTCAAAGATCAAATCCGGTTGCATCTTGGCAGCTATGGAAAGAAGGCCGAGGCTGGAAAGAAGCCCATGAGCGCAAAGGCAAGGTTTTAGCTATCGAGTATGTTGGTTCTTCCCGGGGTGATGCTAGAAACCAGGGACTTCGCCAGATACGGCTCGAAGAAGCTTTTGTTGATGGGTTCTGTGTCACTTGGACAGCTGATTCAAGTGCGAATGTTCATAAAGCTGCGATTTTGCTGAAGTTTAATTTCCTATCTACTGATTTCAGCCGCTCAAAAGGGGTGAAAGGAGTACCAGTCAGGCTTTGTGCAAAAACGCAAATGTTGCGGTCACACCACGAAACTAAAACAATGGACGACGAGCCAGAGAATTGTTACTGTGTGGTGAAGCTCTATCGGGACCACGGTGCCGAACGGAAATCATCGAACGACAAGATACATGCCAAGAAAAGTATTGAAAAGCTCAACAAACAAATCATTGATAAAAGGACAGCCGAGAACTTTGACAGACGAAGTCGCAGAAACACTCTAACGAACGATGGAGAATTCGATATTCGGCCTCAGAAGAAACGCAAGTGGTCGATAAGTTCGCGCAAAGGCCCTATGTCGGATAAAGACCTTCACGCCGAGTTGGCTACAATGGCTCAGGTCTTTTCATCGGCGCGTCCAGTTAGTGTACTTGGTCTTCGTGGTAACGAGAAGGATGATCCGGATCTATACTCTATCTGTTCATCATATGGATCAAGCACCTTAACGAAAGCTGGTGATTTGGGTGATAAATATAGCATGCGTGCTATAACGTTGGTCTCCGAAGAAGCGGCTCCTTTGTCAAACAACACCAACATACAATTGGGTCCCCGAAGCCCTAACTACCAAGAACGTCCGCCCAAAATGTCAAAATTTTCCACCGTGGATTCCCAAGCGGGCTCTCCATCTGCAAATTACTCTAAATTTGGTTCGTACCATTATAAAGCAAACTTTGTTCGTCATTGGCTTACTTTGTCGCAGTTGCATGCTTTTACGTCCAGTTCACTAAAAATGGGAAGCAGCCTGAGGGCTACCATTATGCAATATACCTTGCGAATCGAACTTCTGGCGACTTGAAAAGCAAGCTTGCGGAGAAACTGCAGATCGATCCATGTCTTATCACTCGTGTCATTTGTGTCAATAGCAAAGGCTTGAAGGTCGTGGTGGATGACGATATGGTCCAGCAACTTCCAGAGGCGCAGGTCATGATTGCAGATATTTGTCAACTCCCGTGCACAGACATGGCTCCCTCTAGCACAGGTTACTCTGAGGCGGAAGTAAAGCTCGTGTTCTAGTTGCTCTGAGTAAGCAGCAATACAGACACCCCTGGCAAGGATATTCCTGGAATACACGTAAGGAATACTCGTAGTATAGATCAGTGTGTCAATTAGTTTCGGATAAAAGTAGAGGTGATGACATTAGTCCTGGGACATACATAAGGTAAACCCCAAAATAGACAAGAATGGTCAAGATATCAGACTACTGTAATTTACGGTGACATCGAAGATACTACATAGGCAAATGTGGGACCGGAGGGAAGATATCTTTGCGGACTAGTGCGCTTGAGGTGGGGCCTCGGGAAATAAAGAGAGAGATTTGAGGCAAAAATAATTTCGAATATTCACTGTATATTTCGATAGTCACCGTTTTATTCCCAAAGCCAGACTCCAAACACTCCCTAGACGATAGAGATTTAGTTACAGTATCTTATAATGACTTACTACACCCTGAAATGCAAATGTTCTGACGCGATACGGCTAAGCAGTGGTCTTTTCTTGAGTAATGCCAATCCGTATTTGGCAAAGTTGTAAATCGCGCTTTTCTAAGAAAATACAACCCAACCTATCACTCTGGTTGGCGGTTTCATCGTCTACTTAACTCTCGAAGCTATTGCATACAGTATTTGCGGGCATCTCCCAAATGGCTGCTCGAGCCGGCTTCCATCAAGCAACTCAGTTCCTACCGAATCGAAAGCACCAGAATGTCGCAGTAGCATGCTTGCGCCTGCTACGACAAGACTTATGTAGCTTTCTTGAGACAAACCCCGACAATAGGCAAGAAGGTTTATTCAAAGATGCCCTCCCCCACCTCGACATGATGAATCTTCTAGTGATTTCGGTAAATGTTCAAGCTCTTTCAGAAGCGCATTTTGGTCGCTACACCTTCGTGCCGAGTCAAAATCGATCAAAACAGCCTTTGAATCACGAATAAGAAAGTTGAACCGGTTTGTATCTCCGTGTTGGATCCCCAATTGATGTAATCGAGACAATGTCTTCCGGCAAGACTCTAGGTCCTGAGGGCCAGCATGCCGGGCATTCTTGATACGTTCCATCAAAAATCCGATCACACGGCCATCTTCCGTTAGATGGCCAAGGAATCGGGGACCAATATCATTGCCCTCAATCCATTGATAAGCCGTGGTCTCACTCTCTAGATATGGGATCTCCCATTCGAAGCGAGCGAATTTAGCCACAACCACGTCATCGAGTAAGGGGCATTTGACTTCATAAATGCCCGTTCGCAACTTTTCTCCTACCAGGATGATTCCATCTTCCGGGCCTCCGTCGTCGTCTATAAAAGAGACTACAATTCCACCAATATGGCAAAACTGGGATTCGAATCACTTTCAAATTCTCCTCTTCGCCTGTTCCCTGTTCTCTGCCAGTTTCTTTGGTTTATGAGTGCCCACAGTCATCACATCCTAAAGAGTCTTTAGCCGTCTCTTCACAATATATGTCAAGCGTGAGTTTTCCCTTGTACTTTTTTTTCAGCCACGGAATTGCGCATGATGCCTCACCCGACTGGACGCTGATTGTCCCCCTAAGCAGCCCTTTGGAGACGATCCCTTCGCCATGGCCCTCTTCTGGCGAGGCGCAGCAAGGCAGACCGTGGACTTTTTCGAATATGAAACGCTTTGATCCAATGGGAGAAATGCCGCATAGACCGTCGGCCTTGCGCGTGACTCAATGATTTCCGTTGTGGATGGGCTGGTGGATCTTCGTATCGGCAGGCTGCGCTTTGTCTCATGACTCTTGTCAATCCAACCTACTCAAAACGCTCAGAAGAGGCAGGGGGCAGTAGGCAGGTATAAAGGGTCGTTGGAACTCCTCAGACCGAGAAAGAGGCTGACTATCTGTTTATGGTTCCTTCTCTTCTATTCTGATGCATTGCGTCTGAGAGTTTCCAAATACTACAAAAAAAATCGGTCCTGCATTTCTCAACGATTACGGCTCTCCCAGGACTGAGCAGGTCCAAACGGAGGAAGAGTGTGAGTAGCTGCCCCCGTCCAAGAGGGTATGGTATGGCTATACAGTTAATGAAGATCATGCAATTAGAACAACATTAAATACACGGAACAAAACATGTACGCAACTAATCCTTGATCTCTGTTCGCCACTCCCTCAACAGTCACCAGTGATACTAATGGTGCAACCCCGTAGACGAGCACCATGGTCAGTTCCACAACCAGAATATCACGGCTGTGGCGATTTTCCTTCTAAAAAAGAGGCGCCGTTTGGTGGATCAGTGTTGTGAGCGATAGACTTCCGTCTAGAGCGGGTCGATGACCTCCTGGGGACGACGACGCTAGTTGTCATTTGACTAGCTTCATGCTCTGCTGCCACAAAAAGCTTCTGTGAGCTCCTCAATTGAATAAGGTGGGTTAAGGGATCACGACCGCCATCTTTGACCAGCGAGATACAAGGGAACACAGTGAGGATGTTCATGTCTCGAGCACCCTGATCCTGCCTATCTGGGAGCGCACTGTCTCCGGGGAAGTGAAAAGGCTCACAGTCGGCAATCTCGAAATCAACCAGCTCAAACTCTGTCTCGTATCTCTGCTGAGCTCGTTGAATTGGAAGCCAAAATCCGGCCGCTTTTTGGACAATTTTCTCTATACTTATGCGAATCGAATCATGTTGGGTCTCTGAAAGCAACGCCCACAAGTATGACGATACATTGCGGATCACCGTCTGTATCCTTGTCTGGCGAATTCTTTCTTCGGCACTGTGATCAATCGAGAGAAGAATACGTCGGCAGAAACTTTCCTTCTCGGTATTATCCTCAGCGAGGTGACTGAGGACTCCCTGGATCTCAGAATCATCCGGTAAAAGGTAATTAGGCCGGAAAATGTATTTGCAAAGTTCCCTCGACAGGATGGCCATTGTCATAGCTAGACGCATTCCTTTAGCTTCGAGAGAGTTTGAGGGTACCAGAGGGATATTATTTTGTGCAATTTTAGTATTTTCTTTTCGAAGCTTGTCCCAGATCGATTTGTCCTTTTGATCAAACGATGAGTGGATATGGTCAGAAAGCGGGTTCAGATAGAGGCATACCTTCAAGACTTCCTCATCAAGGTCCTCTCTCAAAATGGCGAATACCTCGCTTGAAGCAAAGACCCATAGATCTGAAAAGCTGGCCGTTCTGGGTGAGATCAATTAGCATACGAACTTTGCCAAATGCCCACAATGCAGCTCACATTGAATTTTCGTCAAGCTCCAATTGCTGAACAGTGAAGCTTTCTAGGTTTTGGAGTCGGCCCTTGGCTCGCTTGTAGTGCTTGATCCAATGAGGCCTTTTCAGCTCCTAGCTCTTCTATGTTCTTCTGCGCTGATGAAAACATTGATTTGAGACTTGATCCAGCAGTCTTCATCCTGTCAATCGTCTTGTCTTTCTCTTTTAAATTCTGTTGGAGTGTGCTGATGTCCTTCGCTGATTGAGAAACTTTGTCGAGCTCTAATGAGTATGATGACTTGATGCTGTCTATCTGCTGGCGGAGACCTTGTACTTCTTTGGAGTATTCGGTAAGACGTTTGTCTTTCTGGTTAACTGATGCACAAAGTGACTCGACGCGGTCAAGAGCGTCTTTTTGCTTTGCCTTCTCGCCCTCATTGGCCGCAAACATTTCCTCGATAGCGACTCGCTTTCTCTCCTTCAGATCGAGCACTTGGTCTTGGGCTTTCTTCAACTCTTTGTCTCTAGCGTGGACTTGTTCACGCTGGTAGGCGATTTCTCCAAGAATGGCGGACACGGTTTGGGATTCAGGACTTGAAGCTAGCATTCTAACTAGTTTAAGAAATTCCTTAAGACCATCGCTGTCAACTGATGAAGGTGCAACACATTGGCTTGCATTTGAAGGGCTTTGGGTGCTGGGAGACATGATGAGAGGCCTGTGTTGAATTCTAATAGTGAGAGGACTGCCAATTTGAGGAAGCAAATTTTTGCTGGTCTGATAATGGGAATAGCAAGAAATTCTGACACATTTATAGTTATCTTTCCAGAAGACTTGCCAGGAAAGTACTACGGCCGACTGTTACATTAGAGCGGGTGTCCTACGAAAGTACGAGGGGAAGTTTTTTGAGCCTCATAATTCAAGGCGCAAGAGAAGTGATGCCGTTTTATGCGTGCAAGAGCAGGGAAGACTTGCAACGTGTTCTCGATTCTGTGGGTTCAATGTATGCGAGTCATTGCATGCATATTCTGTGCATCCATGTCTAGCTACGTGTATTCAGGAATATGGTCGCCTCGTTGGGGCGACTGCATCTCTTGGCGCTCAGCAAGTCAAGTGTTCATTACAGTATTGATATGGCACTAGCAGTCGAGCCACCGCGAAACCATTGAGTGGACACGTACTTTGGACCCTATCATTCTGAAAGTGAGCACAAAAGGCCAGGGTGTTTCATGCCTGAGGCATCAGTCAACTAGCGCCATGGAGTGAGTACTGTAAACGGCGGACCTGTGAATTACTGTATCCGGTTAGTTTTACCTCTCCTATTTTAGCGCCCTAATACACCGTCACGTAACCTCTTCAATGCCCTCCGACATAAAAGACCCGTCTTCGCTGCTTATCCTCCCTCTCACTTTTTCATTCTTCCTACCTCGCAATCCTCGACGATCGCGCCCTTCCAGGTGGTGAGCAGACCTAAACAACGGATAATACCACCGGCATCGCAACATGTCCGGACAGATGTCTCTTGGTGTGCTCCCACTCTCTGAACCAAGATTCACCCCTTCAATTCAGATGACACAATGCAAAGTGAACGACGGTTCCTGGTCGCCAGTCCAGCTGCATGTGAATCAAAGGAAGGGAACAACCATGTAATTTGCAGAGTCTGGGAAGAAACGATCTTAAACATCAATCCCAGCTAAGCCTTCAGAGTGGCCTGCAGTGGTCATACGCGAATTCATCGATTCTCTTGAGTCAGGCACAGAGGCTAATCTCATAATTATTAGAGATGATCTTGCTCCTTTGGACTCGGCATCTAACCATATCGTGATTCACGTTGACGAGGATTGTGGCTATGATGAGACGGAGCAGCCTGGTTCTGTTGCCGACACTGAGATCATGCCTACACTAGAGTTCTGGGAGAATTTAATCGATGGAAGCTTTCTTGTGCCAGCAGACGAGGGTGCAACCGTTGACTTGACGTCTATCCTTACGCTGACCAGATTGCAGCCCGCGAGGACCCAGAAGAGTCTCAAATCCTCAGGCAATCCTCCACAAACTGCCTTCACTTAGATGACAACGCATTGAAAGTGACCAAGAGTACTTTCCATGTGGAGGACTGCCCTGTCTACGAAGATTTAAGTGTGATCTAAACCCGTTTCCCTTATTTTCATTCAGGAGATCTGGGCAGATTCGGTTTCATACATTGGCTCCAGGATTTGCGCGGTATAAAGTTAAGGTGGTGGGTGGTTGGGAGGGACGGTAGTCGTTGTTTGCTATGGCCTAAGTCAGCTGGTCCTCCGGTTTTCCTATGGAGGTGAAAAATATCATCACAGCCTCCAGAATTCTTCTATTCATCTGTCAATCCAGCATAACAAAATGCTCAAATCATACTCCTGCCTTGACCGGGAAAGGCCATATGGCTCTCGCCTCTTCTGCAGATTTCTCCCCAGCAACGCTTTCAATGTACAGAGTCAACAATTCCTCATTCTGCGTCCTCTTCTCATTCACATCCAATCCTGGTGCGACCCATCCTTCCGCATCAGTGTCAAGGCATTCTTGCGCAAGAGCCTGAATCTTATACCAAGCTTGATACTCAGAGAATTGGCGATCGTGCCTATCGACCTGCTCCTGCGTAAAGGATAAAGGGCATTCTCCAGAAAATCCAAGGTCCGACCAATTCTGAAAGAGTTCTATCAAGCACGCACGAAGCGGGAGGACGCCAATTTCGGAGACTTCCCCGCATCGAAGGAATAACTCTCGGAAGACACGGGGTACGTTCATGGCCCTATGCGCTGGTTTATCCTCAAGCAAGGTTGAGATCTCATAGGCCTTTGCCAACTTTACTTGTGACCATTCGCGCATTGCAAGCATCTTGCCATCCTCATCTAGGGTATCGAAATCATCGCGCTGTTTCACCTCAAATATCCCCTTCTCGTAATCATAGTTCTGCGGGGGTTTGAGAAAGACTGGCCATTGGGCCTGGAGAAATGCAGGGAGAACAGAAATCGACTGGAGGTCGATGAGGGATACTATTCTTGAACACTCGTCAGAGGCGACGAAAATGTTTCCCATATGAAGATCGGTATGCCATAGAGTAGGCTGGGAAGCTTCCCCTTTCAATATTTTGTTCGAGTCTAAAAGTTCCATGACACTCTCTGTTGCTTGTAAGAGTTCAGTTTGTTCTTCGATATCTCCTTTATAATAGAGTGCTTGATCTTGCTGGCCGTTCTTTGATATTCGTAGCATTTCGCGCTTTGCAATAGAAACCCCGAGGGTTGAAATTGAATACCCTATGAACAGTTAGTATATAAACTGTCAAAATACGCAGGGGACTCACAAGGTCCTTGATCAAAGTCCAGACTTGGATCAGGATTATATCCTCGATCACAAGAAGGTCCAATACAGAAAGATGGATCAAGTTCATCATCAAGGGGCTTGTTTGGTTGCTCTATATCCGTTCGAAGATACAGTCCTCCATAAGCAGGGAAATGAATAGCTGATAATTGAGCCTCGATCTGGGTCAAGTTTCTGATTAACTGTAGCTGATCAAATTCGGCCATACTACCCCAAACTTGAAACAGTGGAACACCAGCGGCTTTCTCCATGATGATATATTCTGCACCGACAGCATTCGAGTTGTTCGAAGACCAGGCAAGAACACGAGGGACAGGGATGCTAGTGTGTTTTCTGACTGTTTTATAGGATATTAGCCACTGGAAGTAGAATTATACCAATACAACGTACTGTATTCGAGAGCGCCGACTTCACCAGCTGTCGTTAAGGTGGGCGGGCCAGCAATGTGACATGGAATTTTTGCTATCACTTCGGATCCATTTTCCTTTCTCATCAAGAAAGCCTTGCTGAAACCTCCTTCCATTTTGTCAATAGCTGTGACCTGACTGAACTTTCCGCCGACTGTTGCAGTAGTATTGCAAAGCTCATCCACATCGAATCGGACATATCTTCTGTTTAGCTGGTATTCTTCGTTGGCAAGAAAATGGCCATTGGTGTAAGCGAAAAGCTCCTCCTGTGTAATGGATGCACCTATTTGAACAATCAGAAACTGAAAGCGGCTGCTTTTGCACCAAACCCCTTTCCCTTCTTACCTCGACATGTTATCGATAAAGACGATCCAGGTCTGCCATATCGATGTGTAGTAAAATTTCTGAGCGCTCTTAGCATTTTGAGAGCAAGTGTTCAACACACACGTAAAAGAAAGAGGTGATAGAAGGAATGCCGGCAGGGAACTCATGAGACACTTCGGGCGGTATGGTAGATGAGTCAGCAGTCTTAGCGTCCACCACAAGGGTCCACCACGGGTCCACGCCTACACCTCTGAGATCATACAGTAGCTATAAATAAAAATTGTGTCAGCTAGACCTGCTATCTCAACGGTGACTAAAAGTCAGTTATTTTCCGTGGTTGCTGACAGTGTGAAACCAAAGCGCTTGCTATTTTGAAGCAATATTCCAATAAAAGGAAAGGGATCTTTTCGTGTTGGGCACCCATAATTCCAGAACCTTGGAACCTTGGACTTTCAAATTTTTTCTGTTGAGAATTGTCATGAATTTATGTAGTTTCAGAAATTACCCACTCTAAGCACAATGGATATTCTGTCGCAACCCTAATATAGCGTCTCTCTCTTAGCTATCCTTGATATTTGCGATTCTAGCAATAGCTTGTCCAGCAGAAGAGGATTTAATAGGAGGCTGTCTCTATGGCCATCTGTCGATGTACGAAAACAAAACCCGCCTCGGAATTGTCTGCTGATCAATGACCCGCCGTATGAACCGTCATTGATTCTACTCCAGGCCATCAGTATCAGGCTTATAATCTCTGGTCGCATGCAACGTCAAGAGAATGCACTAAATTATCTAGAACGGGCTTAGCATATGAAAATTTCTATTACATATTATATATTATGTCGATACCAGGCAGCGCGTTGTTAGGTCCATGGTATGCGAAGAGCATATGTGTTTTGATTGGCCTCATGCCCTTTTTTTCGTCCCGGTTGCTCAAGTGCACGACTACTGCAACTCGGATCGCATGCAAGATATCTACAAAGACGGTCAAGCATATCGATAAGCGCTGGTAATACTATCTCCGACACAGATGACTCTATCAGATTAAGTAACAGCAAATCTCGAAATATGATATTCATGATGGGATAGCAGTTCCTCCTGGCTTCAAAGCTGACTCAAGGCTATTTCTTGGTGGTAAAAGGTAATATACACATTGATCAGTGCAATCATCTTGACAAAGCACTATTTACCCTTTTGTCCACGGATATTGTATATGCCTGTGGGAGTAGGGCATCCATCTTTCTTCATAATTCTCGGGCTATCGACGCTCAGTGGCAAGGATCGTGGTCTTTCAAGTCAGCTTTGATAATTCAGAGGGAGTAATTGTCAAACATACGATGTTTTGGGACCTAGCCCAGCTTCTTTTTTGCATCGCTCGCCAATGCATTCCACAACGCCTTAGCGGCTTCTTCCTGCTCTTTCTCTGAGGTTTTCACATTAATCTTACCGCTTGCCAACTTGGCATCGGTCCCATTCTTCTTTCGGAATTTGGCTAGCGCTTCATTCTGGGCTTGGCTGTTGACTTGCAAATAGACGTTCTTCCAATCACCAATAACCTCACCGGCGTCGAGACGCAATGGAGCCTTTGTTCTGTTGTCGTTGGCCTGGGGAGGTGCAATGCGTTTTCCTGGGGTTTGTGTTTGGAAGAGCTTTGTATAAAGCTTTGTAGTGAAGAGCTGCTCTCCGAGTTCCTTAATTGCTTTGGACATTTTCGAAACGTAGAGAATAGGAAAACTCAAAGAGGGCCTTGGAAGAGGATGAATGAAATCTTGGAAAGACAAAGACGATAATTTTCACAATATGGAGGCCCAACAGAGGCGTATTTATAACCAATCCCAAAAAGTTTTGCGTACTTATTAACCTGTCAATCCAAATTGGCGTCGTGGAGCTAGGTAGGAACGCAAAGATATCCTGAGACTAGCCAAGTAATTTGAGCGCGTAACTCTGATATACAAGTGGAGGAGTGCTTGTCGCCAACTAAGCATAAGCACTAAACAATGATTTGGGGTGAGTCGCCAACCAACGTAGCCGCCGGCCAAAATAACGATGTGAAAGTTCATGCATTAGCGCGAGGCTGAGTCGTGCACATGAGAAACACACCGGATACCCATTGAGTTGATAACCAAAACGCTGTCATCACTTGGAGCTTTATTGCGCATCATGTACATGCACTTCTCGTAACCTCTGCCTTCAAATTGCAAGGATCTGGAGTCAAGATTGCGTACTTGATCCCTCGGTAGATGACGTGTGTCCGCAGCCTGGTCCCTCTTCTTTTACTGTTCCTCTAAGAGTCTCATGGATTATGCACGGTACCGCTTAACTTGTCAAGTCAAAGGTCTTTCTACACGAGACCAACCTGAAGTAGTCAAAAATGAATGGCATAAGGCTCAGGCTGACCTTGGCATGTCTGGCTGATATAAGCAGGTGGTCACCACGTGATGGATTTTCGCGCGGGGCAGTCGAAAAACTAACTTTGCTACCAGACAGGCCTTTAGGCAGATCAGAATCAGCAAACCTGCCATCTAATCAACCTAATCGCATTGTCTGGTGAGCCTCTCGAAATCAGCTGTTTTGTTTTGCGGTGACGCAGAGAATACACATTTTGGTGTCTTATAATCTTCTAGCATTTTGAAGGTAAGTTGTCAGCACACGGCATTCTCGCGATAACGGCTTACACGTTCTCGTAAGTTCATCGTCTCGTACTTTCCACATGAGTCTGCCCAACAGCGACGAGATCCTCCAGAAAACCCTAGAACATGTTGAACACACGGTTGTGGAGGAGTTGAAAACCTGGCTGGAAGCAAATCCTCACGCGGAATGGAAGCAGTCTCCCCGGTTCAAACTTGTAGAGCAATGTTCGGAAATTAAATTACGGGAAATCCTCCAGCAGCTCGCGCAGGTCAGTCCGTGTTGTGTTTCTAATACACGCTTCGTGCTGATAAATGCAGAACTCCAGCGTCGCTACTTTTCGGACATCACACTCAGGCTGGGAGGTGAAAGAAGGAGAGCTTATTCCCATATCTCACAGTGAAGGCTGTATAATTCGATATGGGGACAGAACGTATCCTTTGGCCAATGGAACAAAGATGTGCATATCAAAGAAAGTTCGCGTGGAGATCCCTGAGGGCAATGTTTTGTATTTAGTATGGAAGGTTAAGAATTCGAGTCACTGAGAATCTGCAATCAAATCCCAGCTAGTATTGATTTTGAGCAAGCGGTACATTTTGTTCAAAAGAATAATAGTGGGGGAAGAAAGAGTACTGCGGATCAACAAAATCGAGATCGGTCATATCAAGCAAGGGAGCAACAAAATCGAGATCCGTTAAATCAAGGACATTCTCATTATTCGATATAGAACACTGCGGGCCGACGAAATCAAGAGCAGTGAGGTCAAGAAGTGTTTCTTCAACTCGTGGTGACTGTGGAGGGACGAAATTCATTGCTGCCGTTTCGACAGACCTCTCTTGGGTGGGGTTTGCAGAGCATGCAGCCTACACTAACGTGTTGAACCGGGACGCAACTTCATTGCTGACTGATCCTTGTGTATGATTTCCAGATTCCTGCTCCTCTTGCTGCGCTGGACCTGCTCTGGACTGATTGGTTTCTGAGGCCTGCCACGCAAGAGAGTTTGAAGCAGGCCCTATATTATTGGGCACGCAAGATCTCTCACTTGTCAATCCCGTGAGTAGTTGCGCGTCTGGAATGAATTCTCCAAGTCGTTTGGTACTTCCTGGGTGGCCGGTCTCGACAGCAGGAAAGGGTCCTGGACTCCCTTTCTTACTTCTCTTTCTGCCAGCTCTTGCGTGTTTCTTCGTATCGTGCTTTCTTTTGCCTGATACGCTTTGCCCCGGGTCGAGATCGGCAATCCAAATGAAGTTGGCATGAAAATCTAACAGGGACTTAGCCATACGAGTTGCGTTTGAATCTTCAGACTTCTTTATGATGTCAATTCCTCGAAGATGTTGGATTGTTAGATCGAAATCTTCTCCGATGAGACCTTTATCGTCCCATCTTGAAATAGTTAGCAGAGAAGTGGATTGTAGTGTCGATTAGAAGCTCACATGCTATCTGGAATAGATGAGAAGAATAAGGGTCCGTAAATCTCATTGTATTCTTCCCTGTTTACCAGGCCATCGTCGCTAATACCATCGGCTTCCATATTTTTATGGACCAATACACCGGCCGCAAGCTTCTGGCAGAAGGTGGTATGTCTTTGCCCTCGTCGAATGATGTCACCGAATTTGTCAACATCATTCTCCGAAATAGAAAGTCCCGCACGAGTCAGAAATCGCTCCACGCTTGTCTTCACCACTCGAGACTCTGACGTCGGAGTTGCTCGTCTAAAGAGCTTGTAGGTAGAGACAGCCACAAACCTCCGCAGAATACGTTGCTCATCGATATTAGTATCTAATTGAGCTGCACCTTAGAGGAAAGTCTTTGCCCTACTCCGGTCTGTTTGCTCGCTATATCGAGGTAAAGACTCAATGAGCCTTTCCCAGAACTCAAAGGGGTTTTCCTCGAAGCGGGGAAACGATCATGTAGAGTTGGAAGCACCTCGAGATGATCAACACTTTTGACTCGGTCGTGATTCGCATTGGACCTAGTTGTCGTGGTACTAAACAGTCTGCGAAGAGGCACATATAGCTGTCGAAGAAACTCGCGCTTCTGTTTGTCATCCGCAACAGCGAATAGACCGTCTTGTGGAAGAGTCTTCAAAACTGCGATAACCTCGCCGTTAGAAGGGCCACCTGGGTCATTATTTTGTGGGACCGGTGGTTGGAAATGATGTTGCTGGATGCAGGCCATAATAGGATGATAAACAGAGAAGTGAGAAGGGGCAATGTCATAGCGGAGAAGAGGATATCCCAAACATGTGACCCGACTTTGGAGGCCTGGAGGCTTGGCGGTATTGCAGGGCACTAGTCCAAAATGGTTTTCCATGAGACCGCGCGAACTCATAAATGTTCTTTTCGGTTTAATGATGACATTTAGCATCCACCAAAGTCAGCTTACAATGGCTGGTCCTCACAACCCCACATTTACTTCCGTCTTGATACGACTGGATATCAAGTTTGAACGCCATGGCTCGAGCTTCATCCAAATCGGTAGAACCTGTTTCTCGATCAATTTTAAGATTTGATTTACATTGGCTTTTTCTGTCGCAGATCTGCAATTAGGGGCATCTGAACAAGAAATGACAAGTCGGTGGACATGAGATAAGGAGATTACTGTTTCTCTGGCCTATCCCTCCTGTGAAACTTCGACCACGAATTCACGGCAGCGAGCTATGATCTGTTTAAGCCTACCAAATGTTCGTTGTTTAATTTCAACCTGCATGTCCCGCCTTTTCTCCTCCCCAGGCAGCTCGCGCGAGACAGTTTTGTTCGGAGGTTCAGATCCCAATCGAAATTCTAGGCCCGAATCTATGAAAGCAGATATTTCCATGACTTCGAAAGAACAGTCTACCTTTTCTACCACTTCAGTCTCTGCCAGAGACTCAGCACCTATTCACTTGCATGTAGGTTACTCTTTCCTCCCCATTGACATCAGGCTCTAACCAAGTAAGACCGTTCGAGTTTGGTACTCTCCCAAAGGTCTTGAACCTATTGAAGACATCAAAAAGAAGGGCCTTGAAGACGTGGTTTTTGATACCATTGCTCTTCAAGAGCTTGGCACTCAGCATCAAGCCCACGGTGACCATGGAACCACGAAGAAAGCATTCCTAGTGGACCTTGCGGTACTGGAGACTGGTATTTTACGGGTTTTGGGCAAATATGGGACTCTACATCTCGTTCCTCTGAGCAGCGATGATCCGACTATTTCGCAACAACCAGCAGAAGATCTCGACTCAAAGAAAGCTCTTTACTACCAACGTCTACATTCAAAATACTCACAAGAGTATGTAAAAAGGCAGCGCACCTGCACGGTTTTGGGTGTTGAGATGAGCAAACTTTGGACGGACTGGTATGATGGCTGTCTTAGAGAAATTGGCAACCGCCTTAGAAAGCTCGGTTACTGATGAGCAAAGCAAATATAATTTGATTTATGGTTTGCTCTTGCACTAATAACCAGAAAAACCTCAATCTAGGACCAATAAAAAGTTGAGGCTCGAAGGGACCGTTTCAGACATAATGCTTCGGTATCGATCTTGAAGTATTCTCCTCACTTTATCATTGGGCCGTCGTAAGAAAGTAATCAAGTCTTGCCCCACTTCGGAAGATGAGGCATCAAAATGCCAAGTTATCAGAGCTAGCATCAAAATAGTACTATGACTAAGGTCGTGTAACCTTAAGACGCGTAAATCGTTTTCGAGAGAGATGCTTCCATCGGGGCATGGTTCCTGGGATCTTCTGTATTTCAGAGTCTTGCAGACATCTAGCAGCATCCTAACGTCTTGGCTGGGAGTTTCCAAGGGCGCCCATTCCCTGAGGGACGGAGATTCAATTCTCAAAAAGAGCATTGCCTTCAAAGAAATTTCTGCGGGCCCATACAGAAGCTGGACAGGAATCGGGGTGGACTTCTAGTGTCAGCATATCATCGTCACTAGCGAAAGATGCGGGTACTGACCATGACCAGATCTTTAGTTCAATGATAAGGTGGGATAAATGGTATGGTGCCTTGGAAAGAATAAATAGGCACCTTCATAACCTGCTAGCTTGAACCAAGAAACACAGCTGATATTTGAAGCCTTCCATCTCTATTGATGTTTTTACCACATATTACTCTACACTACCCGAAGCTGGCTGTCCAACTGGCCTTATGCACTGCCTTTCTTCTGCGCCGCTCCGGTCTCTTCTTCCGAAGTGGATACAATCCCTCTGGTTCCCACCAGGAGAGCAAATTAAAGAACGCCTGGATCATACTGTCCCCACTGTTCCCAGCCCGTATACGAGAACTGAACCAGCGGTATGTAAGCTTCAAAATTCGGAAGTTGCATATAACGTCACAAAGCCTCTACCAGTTTGCATTTCAAACCAAACAGAGAGACTGCCACGGACACGCACTAAACCACTCGAAAATAATTTTTGTGGGTTTTCCTGCAAACTGCAAGCCTTTTCTATTACCTTCTCACATTTCACTTGCTAGCAACCCGACCCCAAGCCATCTCCGAGACTATTGTACTTCCTGACATCCCTCCAGGCGTTAAATTTGTCAAAGGAAGGATTACTTGCATGGGAGAGGAACGCCCATCACCTGAGTGGTCAACTATGTATTTGAAAAACAAAAAACTGGCTGTGATCATGTTGTCAAACATTGGTCAAGGATCGAGTCTTCAGTAAGTACTGTTCTTCATTCCCAGGCTTGTCGAAGTAATCTGATTTCCGATATCCGGGGATCTAGTGATCGATCGGCCAATGTCCAAGGCACTTTCGCGGTATAATCACAGTTTATATAGCTAACATTTGTGGCCAAATCTAGAAGTCCTGATACAAATAGAAATATCACGATATTCTACCGATTACCCTTTGAATTGGATGCCTATTCCTCGAGTTTGGATGTGAGGGGGATGGAAACCTATGGCTTTATTACTGGCGTTTCTGCAAATTCTGTTTTCCCAACAGATGAAATATAACTTGGCAGATCATTGACCCTTTGACAGTCCCTGATCCCTTTCCAACAACAGTAGTTACCGCTATTCCAAAGTGGAGAAAGGAGTAGCAGCTGGCCAATGACATAAGGGCCCAGTATAAGAATATAATTGGCTCAATGTTACTCTTTAACCTAAAGCTACAAAGCCCTTAGTTACTAGCTAAACACTACATTTTACCCTATTCCTAGCCCCTACGAAATAGGCAATTTCGCGGGAGCTTTTGAGCTTTACGCAGTATCCTAGGAAGCCACATACATCAGCTTGTGGAATAAACAATTTTTGTAACGTAACAGCTCGTCAAGGCCATTATGGAATGTCAAACATTTCTAGGATGTGAGTAGGGTAAGTACCCATTCAAGTATATAAAGACAAAGACCTCTCCCAGAAATCTCCGAAAGAAAAGCAAGCGTCAGATCAACAAAAATGGAATTCCCTTTTTGTGGTACGCTCTTCAAACCACCATGGCATCATTATAAAGCTAACCCAAGGACCCCCAGATCCTGATATATCCTTACACATATTCAGACGAATAGGGCCACATATCTATGACGTTCCAGATGGTCAGAAAGAGTATACCTGCTAGGCGAGGCTATATTAGCTAATAGCCTACAGACTTTATCATAAAACTCGATGCAACGAATTGCCCTATGTACGAGCCTGTCGACGACAAATTATGGATCCTGTGCGCCGGAAGCAGCACTACTACACATTTTACACTTGATCGGATATACGAAGTCCTTCTGGAATCTGAGACCTGCAACCATATTTGGGATCTATTCGAAAAATCCTTTTTATTTTCGATTTCCCGGACGTCGAAGATAGAAGAAATATGCGCGGCTAAGCCAGGTGTCTATACAGTCCCTAGCGGTAAGAAGCGTGTTATGACTTTGTTAAGTTAGAGATAGAGGCTGACATGCGATAGACTTGATGATAATGCGCACGAACAGACAGGCCTCCAGAGGAGGTTATTCTTACATACTTATTTCGAAAAAATTACACAGCGATTGTCAACGCCTCTTTGCGCTTGGCCGAGACGGACAAGAACTTATGCTCGCTGAGATATACGCGGGTCTATCGATTCTTGGTAAATTCTCGAGGTCTATACTCCTAGGAATGATTGTCATCATGAGGGACTGGCTTCGAAATCAAGAGTTTTCCATTACCGAGGAGGGGGTGTTGACTAGGCTCGTCTTACAATTAGGGCGGCCTGTCAAAACCCAGGGCATTGCTAATCTTGTGAAAACGCGGGTTGTCCAAGGCGAATATCGTATGACTCAACTTTTACGGAATGGAGACCATTGGGATGCCAAGTGCGAAATGTTGGGTTCTCACTATTGGCAGCAACCGACGGGAACCCCACAGGAACTCTTGAATGCTTTATGTTGAAGGACGCCCTTTTGTCACCCATCCATTTTCTTTTGATACTTCACGTTAGCTTATTGATGTTTTAAGGTCAACCTGGAATTGTCTGTGCTACTTATATTTACTTACATGCTTCTAATGTTTATTGTTTTTTTTTTATCTTAGTCAAAACCCAATACAAATTGCCAGAAATCAGAGTATAGAAATAAAAAGCTGTTATTGCTTGCTGATAGGGCATACAAAATTCTAATTAGAACCAAAAACGGACTAGTCACTCGCGACGTGGCGCATTTAGGGCTTATTTAGTAATCCTTAATTGCCACCATTGTAACCCTCTCACCCTGCGATATAACGCTTTTGAGTCTCATAGAACAATTCCAGTCGTGGAAATCCAAGCATCATAATAATGGCAGGAAATAGCGGTGGCTGAGAGGGATAACGTCTGAGACACTGTGGTGCCTGTTTTGGTCTTGTGGCACTCTCAGCGGGTGCGAGAGTAGGAAAATGCACAGACCGTACGTCCTGATTCAGGACCGCTTAATAAGCGAACTTCAGCTGCATGGCAAACTTGAGCAGATAATTCGGCTGTCAGCAACCCGGGGCCTTTACCGCGATATTTTCGGTTTATACACGACATTTTTAGGTATCAGAATTGAATGACAGTCTGGGATGCTCTTATAATGGTCATATTATTCTGAAAAGTTCTCAAGTTCGAGGGTCCGGCTCATATAATAAGTCGGGTAGTGTCGATGCACATGAATAAGGAGCGCACTTCGCCCCGGAATATATAGGTGACTATAGGAATTCGAGTCACAAGAATAAGATCGCTAATTTGACGCTAATTTGACAGGTAGAAAATATATTTTCTCATCACGAAACCCGAAGACGTTTTGCATCTCCTGCCTCCACTTGATATAGTCGTCGTTTTGCGGCCCCCGGTCGCTGCTTAGCCGGTCGACATGTCAGGGTAGAACGGTGAAAGTCGATGATTAGAGCACGCCCGAGCTCCTCACTCCAAAGGACATTGTCTCGCCTGGGGTCTTCATGTAGTATCCCGAGAGCTTTTATTTCCTTGTTCGATTTGTGAATCTCGCGGCGAAGCCGTTGCGTCAGCTCCATCGTGGCCGTGCATTGACCGCCCCAGCCCATTACGAGCATATGGCGAATCTGTCCAGCACCATGCAGAAAGTAGATCTTTGCTAAGTCAATCGTTCCCAAAAAGACAGGAACAGCAGATCCTTGAGCCTTGCGTAGGATCTGATACACCTGCGCTTCGCGTGAAACTTCTTTCCACAACCCCGAAGTGGTGCCTTTACCGATAACTGTGTAACCATATTTCGTGCAAGTCAATTTGAATGGGGCTCCGTATGAGCCACAACCGCCAAGAGGTATGCAACGATCAATATTTTCGTCCAATTGGCCCTTGAGTGAAAGCATCAAATCTTCAGCCGAGATGGGATGCTGAGTCGGGTCGTCTTGGCCCTGGCGGTGATAGTCCACGTTTGGACACAGCTCATCTAAGGATTTCATACTCTGCAGGCCGAGTAAACATCGCTGTGTGCAAAATTGTGCAGCGTGGCGTCGGGAATGATCTTCGTGATCATATACTGACTCTTGCTGGCGACCTGATCGTCGAGCGGACGGTGAAGATGTGACTTGGCTGATCCTCCTCTTGTGGCCAGAAGTTTGATTTGTATCGGACCCAGACGAGTTAGGTGACCGCGAGCGCGGTCGGATCTCCGAAGGTGCACAGCTTGTTTGAGAGCGTGTAGGCACTCGACGGCCCTCTGAAGGAGACGGCAGCGGAGATGATGACGGTAATTCATAGGATGAACCAGACCCTGGGCTCGGGAACTCGGGGTTAGTGCTATCGGAGTGAGGAATCTGCTGTAATTCATTTCTCGGGATCTGCGAACGAGTATGTTCAAAGCTTGTTTCCCACGTATGAAGATCGGGACACAAGCGATTTCTCCACTCTTGCCCACGTGTGGGTGAACGGAAGGCCATCAAACAAAGGCATAATACCCTCGCAACAGAGGTCTTCGACAGCTGATGAGTTGTATCGCCTGTTGGGTCCACTTCGTTGTGGGGATCAAAAAGAAAGTAATACAGCGTGGTGGGTTCGTCTCGTGGAACACGAAGTAGTACACGAATAATTCCATTTGTCAGGTAGGAATATTCGAGTCCTTCCTGAATCATCACGTGGTATTCTTGGACGATAGCAGAGCACACAAGCCGCTCTGCATTGTACCTCACCTTCGCATCCTGTTCAATGGGTATCTTATTTGATCTGACCATTTTCTTCCACAGATCCATTGGTCGTAGTCCCATTCGAAGAGTTGCGACAGGCAGCTTGTGAGGCGGCTTGTACTCAACGGTCGTCAGCACGGTGGTCGTGTTGCCGTCGACACGATGAATGCAGAACTGGTCTGGTCGTGGGTGTTGTGTGCTTGACAGCTGGCTTGTATCCGCTTCAAACGTTTCGGTCCTGCTCAAAGAATTTGCGTGATTGCTGAACTGGATTCCATCACCGAGGCCGAACTCGTCACATGCCGCTGGAAATTTGCATAACTCGGCTATTATATCATGGACGTGTTCTTCCACCCCAAATCGCTCATAGGCTTCGAGATCTTGCTCACTACTGAGGGGCTTGCGGGCAAATCGACGGCCAAGTCCTTCTAGCTCCGGTAGAGACGAGAATAAGCGTGGCGCCTGCCCTAGCTCCGACTGTAGATATTGGCAGACAGACCTGTAGACCTTTAGCAGCTGCTCTGGGCAGTCGGCCCAATGTTCCAATCGAGTTGGGCAGTATTTTCCAGTGGGAAGGGGTATTTTTCCAGTGGTTGAGCGAGATGGTGTCTCGACTCGCAACTGGCGGGAGAGAAGGTCATGGCAGTTCTGTAAGAGCTCTGTGAAAGAGGTCTGTTGGTTGCGTTCTTCTGCTTGCCGTCTCCCTTCTTCCGCCTGCTTCCGTCCTTCTTCTGCCCTAAGGTAAAGATCTTTGTAATTTGGGGAGCTGTGGTCGGCCATCGATTTGTTGGAAAAGGTAAGTCATGCCTTAACGCAAGTGCGTCAGAGCCCGGCTGACGATCTGGTCCGATCAGCTTTCTGCCAGCAGATCCCGGGATTCGGAAAATTCTTTCTTCCAGACAATGACTCAGGTCTCACGTTTCAGGCATACATACTAGCCCAAAGCGGTTAGCGCTTGTCTTTACTCTAATCAGAGTCGCCCGCCGTCCTTTCCGAGTCAGTTTCTATACAGTAACGCCGCGCAATCCCTGCCACTGTTCTCGAAGTACTGATTTATGTGTCACGTGTGTAGGATCATGCTTCTATTCCTAGAGGCTAAAGTGGTCTGGGATCAGTGCTTAAAGCTCATAAGAGGGTAAAGAGACATACCTGCGTAGTTGAATCCCTCGCCAATAATAGACTCTGTGGGCGATACAAAAACTGCCTTCATTGATAGGAACGGCAACGGTAATTTGTTTAGGCATTACCAGAAGACCCGACGTCGGGTTGAGGTATTTATAGGCAAAGGGCTTGCGTGATCGTGGTAGTCTTTGATTGAGTTCCCCGGGTTTGGGCGGGCGTTGATGGCAAAGATGATGGGCACGATCAAGCTTCCCAGCAGAAAAAGAAAAGTGAGAATGATTCTTCAGATCAAAAAATGACTTTTTCACCATCAATCGAAACTTGTTGGAACACCCTCAGGTTAAAGCAGCCGCACTGTACGCCTCATTTTCAATGCCCCTGCTTAAATGCCTCAAATTTCTGCTCTCACGATAAGCTGATCTATGTAAAAGATGCAAGACATCATTTGGATCAAAAGCTACTGTATTACTGTATTGTTCTACAGTAATATTCGAAATCAGTTTTACATGCAGTCTCTCTCTCTCTGTGTTTCCCGAGTCCCACCTCAAGCGCACTATACCGTATTAGTATATTCTTCCGCGAGCCTTGCATCTGCCGACGTACCTCGATGTGTCGATGTAAATTACAGTAATCTTACCTCTTGGCAATTTTGATCTTTTTAGTCACAAACTGGATAAAATGACGTCATGGCGCCTGATTCGTCGTTAGGGGACGTTCCCTCTGTTTTCACTTCACAGTTCACCTATAAGACAACCTAACCTATAAGTAGGGGATTCACTCAGTAACAACACTTAGTGATTGACTTACTTAGCGCGCACTTCTAGCACGTTCTACAAGATACTTAACAGGATCCAACCGCAGTAAGGCTTTACGAAGCAACGGTACGATTAAGAGATACTCTTAGAATCCGCAGTTAGAACTAAGCAAGTATCACCCGTAAACGTTCTAACTCACAGTGACCGGTCGGCTACGCGTAACAAAAGCCCTAGATTTAAGAGAATTAGAAAGTTTTAAATCAATTTCTCTTTTAGTCGCATACTTTTTGTCCAACTTGTAAGCTAAATACCTAAAAATACAGCCCAAATCTACATAAAATATGCATATAACAGGATTTCTGTCATGAGATTCCTATCATAAGGCTATTCCCACATTGATACCCTGGCCCTGTGGCGGCCTAAGGCTCCGGTCGGACGACCAACCGTTCTTCCTTAATGGCGCAGCTGAAGGTTGGTTACACAAGCTCGTATTCCTTCTAGGATTTCCCTCCTTCTTATGTTTACCCCTCCTTCCTGTTGCACGAAGAGACTGTATAAAAATATGAGCTACGAGGAGCAGGTTTCAAGCTCCTCAAGAAACAGTCTCTGAAGTAATCCAACTTGATGTTTTTTCTTCTACCTGATTGACAGGCCTTCTACCCTGCAAGTAGACAATCTCTTTACAATTTCCTATGTTTGTTCTATTTGTTAATCCGACGGATCAATCCGCCCCGTACAGGGCGGATCAAAGATTTATAGATCCGGATCCGCCCCAAAGGCGGATCGGGGCGGATCCGGATACAGACCAGAACGGATCCTTTCGAGGTCTACTGATAATAGCCACTTGGAAGAAGGGAGGACTACTCAGATGTGTTCATCTGGGCGTGTTCCAAAGCGCTCGAGACTAGACTTCGGCAGGACCCATCAAAACCCGAACCCAACCCAACCCATCATGGGTTTTGGGTCCAAATCTTGAACCCATGATGGGTTTTGCCGAAGTCTACTGGAGACAGGATGAGGATTTCGTATATCTTTAATAAAAACATGAACAGCATAATTAAGTTTTTCATAAAGAAATCAGTCAATCCTCGCTTTTTCGGTAGAAATTAACAGACGGTAAACAGAAATAGTCTTTCTCCTACCGCAGGATTATATAGGATTAAATATCATCTGAAAGCAGAATACTCAAAAATACGGGTGACTTCTACATAAATTATGCATACCTCGTGGTTTAAGATGTTTTGTCTTTTTGCAGGACCGCAGGACCGCACCAAACCGCAGTGGTGCGGTCCCTAAAAATGTAGGACTGCCTGGCGGTCTCAAGGTCTAGGACCAAAGACCGCGCGGTGCGGTCTAGTGCGGTCTTGGTTGCGGTCTTTTCGGTCTCGTGCAGAGGCCTGCCCATGATGGGTTATAGAATTAGACCCAAAACCCATGATGGGTTTGGTTGGGTTCGGGTTGGGTTCGGGTTTTGATGGGTCCTGCCGAAGTCTAGGCAAGGATAGCATTTCTTTGGTTAATCGTTCAATTCATGACTACTAAGTTGTTATTGAAAAGTTATCGGGGTTTCAAACTCATGGAACCCTACTGTTCGGAGTACTGTACGGTTCACAAAAACTTTTATCCACACTTGAAGTGGTGGGGCCTTCCGATCCACGGAAGAGCAAATGCTGACGCTCACACAGCAGGCTCCCCGGATGCGTGGCTTGCTCAATATTTGAAAAGACGCCATCGTCCTCAACCTGTTTACACAGACATCGCATTTGGGCCAGCAGATACAACTATTATCCAGAAAGATGACTAGCAATTTCGCCGACGCATATACCAAGGCCAATCTCGCCGCTGATGCTGCGGTATTCGAGCCGGAGCTTTTCCAGGCGCTGACAGCACAGATTGAGAACGCTGGCCCGTCAGAAAAGAAATGGTTTGCGCTCGGGCTAATTGTATGAGGCCCCTACTGGTTAATATCGGGATCCGAATTAACAATTGTGCACATAGAGTGCTATTCTGTGCGCTCTGGGCCGGGGAGATGTGGTTGTAGATCTCGTCCGTAACGCCACCGAAACACAGTCGGCCGATAGCTTTAAGGAGGCGTTGACCATTGTCCGAGAGGCCATTACAATCGCAACGCCGTTTGTGGGTTTGCCTAACACGATGCCCGCTATCTTCGGTCTGGTGGCAGAAATCCGAGCGAGTGGGGTTGAAATCACAGAGACCACGCCAAGGTGAGCAATATTCAGGTCGTCTCAAAGTTATATCCTGCAGTCTGACACACAACCAGAATACCCCTCTCGGAGAAGGATTACCACACCGTCGGTATCGATACGTCAAAGTTGATCTACCGCGGGGTGGGCAACAGTGATGTCGCTCCGATGGTGGGCAAGTACTTCCCTGAAACATGTAAGTGCTCCCACCCCCTTTGGGAAACCAGGATTGATGAAATTAGCCTACTACGCACACACTACAATCTTCGGATACTTGATAGCCGGAAGTAGGCTCTTGTCGCTGCAAGAGGCGGAGTTGGTGGTGGCTTCGTCGATCATTGGGCTGGGAGCAGTCCGGCAAGCCCGGAGCCACTGCAAGGGCTCAATCCAGCTGGGAAACAGTGTCGATGTGATGGAGGCAATTGTGCAGACTGCGTACGAGCTGGCGAAATGGAACAAGACGCCTCTCCTGGGCAGTTTAGATGTGCCAGCATTGGCAGCGGAGGTGCGAGCAAACCTGGCCAATGAGTAGATAGCAGGATAGCTGTCAATGAATCACTTTTTTGGATCTCACCGGGAAATTTGAAACCAACCGACCGACGGCCAAGGCTGGCGGGTCGATGCTGGGAAATGCGGTGGCCCCAGAGTGCCACTGACTCGACGGATATAGCAAGCTAACTATAATTATGCCCGAAACGAGCTAGCAGATAATTTATGCTCGGCTAGTACGGTGCTAGGATGGTTATTTTGGTACGCGTGAAAACTGGATCGCCACTTGTCCTGCACCCCACATCCCTCTTCAGCATGGTTCACCCTTGGACAGACCAGAGCCTTGAAATGCGGAGGACGTAAGTCGCGCTTGCATCGGCAGAATCCTCAGGCTCGCTCCCTGCAGGGGCCTAGGGCACCCATCTGCGAATAGCTTCAACAAAGAATCCCCGAGCTTCGCGCGGCGACTCCACACAGTATGAGTTATGATATCATACATGAAAATCCAACGCCTTCATGTATAGTTCTAAATTGTTGAACAATACGAAGCATTGGCCTTTATGAACGAAAACTGGATGCTCGAGCCGGGTTGAGTCATTGCATTTACCTTAATGTTTTTTGTGCCTCTATGTAGAGTCCCTTTTCGTTACAGCACCTACTTCAATCCCGCTATGACTGTGTCGTGTCTGGTTGCAAGGAAAAAACATCAACCTACACCGCTACCTTTCATTGTGCAATCAGGGCCTTGGAACTCCTTGACTCCAGATTCTCCATCCATCTAGCCAATTTACAGCGCTCCAGAGGATTTCGAAAACAGATTACCCCCCCAGGCACTCCGGTTTTCTTTCCCAGTGCCCCACTCAGACGACGCTAACCTGTGTGCGGCTGGTATAGGTACTCTACATGCAGCGATTGATGGTATGATTGGCTATAATGGGGGCAGATCTGGACATAGCCCCACTAGTGGGTCACCAGGAAAGAAAGTTTGTGTGTCTGTGCGAGGGGAGAGGATATCTATTGTCGAAATTTACTGTACCTCCATGTTTCACAGGAAAAAAACCGTGGACCTGCGGATATTGTGTCTGAGAACCTAATGAAAGAATATTACAACTTCGCCGCTATCGGCTGGAAATAGACATTTCTCACACGCTTAAGAGTTCGCGAGCATCGATTGCGCGTGGGGGCTAGATGTGCATTAGGGAAGGGAGCAGGGTCTTCCTATCTGTGCCAAGATGGATATGTGGAGGCGAAAAAGAAAATATCAAGTACGTGATTTTCTCTATTTGGCCTGCAGCTCAGTCAAATACAATTCGGTTCTTGATTGTTCCTAGCCCTTTCAACTCAATTTCGACCACACTGTCATGATGAAGAAACCCGTCGGGGGTGAATAGTCCCACGCCTGCAGTAAAATTAGGACGAGTTTCTACAGGAATGCATTTAGCAATTTCTTACCACTCGGTGTCCCCGTCATGATTAGAGTCCCCTTCCTTATGGTTGTTCCACGGCTGAGATGAGCGATGATCTGGCTCACCGGCCAAATCATGTCGTCGGTAGATGTCTCTTGTCTCTTCATTCCGTTCACTCGTGTTATGAAAGACAACTTTTGCGGATCAGGAATGGCATCGGTCATGCTGATAGCTGGACCGATGGGAGCAAAACCATCAAACGACTTGGCGTAGCAGAACTGACCGCCGCTAACATCGGGCATTTGGAAGTTCCTTGCGCTGACATCATTCCCAATGGTGTATCCCAGCACGTAATCTAGCGCCTCTTCCTCCGAAATATTTTTACAGTCCTTTCCGATCACAACAGTTAGTTCGCCTTCGTAGTCGAGCTTGGGGGTCGCGTCAGGGTGTACGTGGATGTCGTCGTAAGGTCCTGCTCGTGTCAGCACTGACCAAAACCGACATAATTTCAAACACAGACCAGTGAGTGCATCTGCCGGCTTGCTAAAAACCACAGGGTATGGAGTAATATTGAGATTGGCCTCCTCGGCGTGCTGTTTGTAATTGAGACCAATACAGAGAATGATGGGAGTAGATTCCAATGGAGAGAGAATCTTCGCGGAATCTGGGTCAGAATACAAGGTCTGTGCAAATTCAAGAGAAAATCAAGGCCCACCTTCGCCACCTTCGCCTCAAATCCTAACGGCTTTAGCCCGTCGAATGGATTTCCCTCCAGCACCATTACGGTAGCATTTACGAGGTTGCCCGCCAGATCGTCTTGGCAGGGCTCCCCATAGTAGATGGAGCCTTGCTCGTCTTTGAATCTGATAAACCGTGATACCGCCATCGTCAAGTGTTAGGGTTTGGTGTTTGAAATAAGAAAAGCAGACACCTTTCGGTGTGGGTTGACCTCTGGCCGAGTTTAATGTCAGGCGGACTCTCCGCATCCCCGGAACAAAATGGACCCACCACTTAATCCGCTATCCGGGGAGACGGTCCTACCGCCAAAGCGCCTGGTACTGATCTCTTTCACCTTGACTGTGGTCTTTCGCAAACCTCCGAATGTGCTGATCAGGTGGCGACCAGAAATCTTAGTCCACTACTCAATGATCGTCCAATAATAATTTCGTCAAAAGTCTGCCCCAGCTGGCGATACAATTATGCGAGGGGTTCTATTGAGCTCGCCTGCGGCTACGGGTAGTCCCTCGATCGTAGCAGCAGCAAAGCAATGATGATGTGGTTATTTTGGGACGGTTTCAGATAATGATACTGGGCAGAACTTGCAGCTGCTTCACTGCTGTAGTAGTGTTCGTGTCTAGCGACAACCATTATTGAATATCGTCGGTGTCTCGTCGGCGGAAGGCTAGGCCGAGGTCATAAATCAATTACAGCAGGGAACACGGCAGGAAAGGCTGGAAAAATTGCCCGATGGCGCTACATATTACCGCTTGTACCGAGGCATGATTCCGGTAGAGCGGAACATCCAGATCATTAAAGTACCGTGCTCGTCAAGCTCCCCCGGAAGCGCTACTACTTGTACACGCCGAGTCCTATTCTAAATCGTCCAGGATAGCTGCGACGAATGAATTGTGTCAGTCGCAAGATGAGGGCCTCGTACCTTTCCAACGTTTGGAAGGAAAATATATTTTCGTGCCAAGTTGTTTTTTGCACTGGTGGGAACGGTACAATATGCTCCGCCCAGGTTCGTGCCATGGTTTACCTCGGTGCCAATGCCTGCATAGTGGGAAGAAATGAGGAGAAGACTCAAGCTGCTGCCCAAGATATCGGAACAGTCAGACACGGGAGCAGAGTACTTGGTATAGGTGGAATCGACGTGCGCAGTATCGAGAGTCTACAGCGAGCCGTGAGTCAGTGTGTGGCTGAGCTGGGCTCCATTGACTTTGTTATGTAAGGTCCCATTCTGAGAGTTAGAATGCTGTCTGGAGATTAATATAAAAAAATCATGCAGAGCTGGCGCGGCGGGGAATTTCCTTGCTTCTTTTTCCTCTATTTCTCCGAACGCGTTCAAAAGCATCGTCGACATCGACGTCCTCGGCTCCGTCAATACCGCAAAAGCAACCTTGCCTTACCTTGTGGAGTCCAACAAACGTAATTCGGCATCTGGACGCATTATCTTTATCTCCGCGACACTACATTATACCGGTTTCCCACTTCAGACTCATGCCGCTGTTGCCAAAGCCGGCGTGGATGCCTTGTCCGCCAACATTGCTATTGAATACGGACCTCTCGGGATAACCAGCAATGTCATTAGTCCAGGCCCAATTAGCGGGACGGAGGGGGTCAATCGTTTATCCAAGAGCAGGGCACAGTCACGCAGCATTCCTCTAGGGAGGTATGGCACGGTCAAAGATATTGCGAACGCCACTGTTTTTCTTTTCTCGGAAAGCGGCGGTTTCATTAGTGGACATGTTCTGGTCGTTGATGGGGGAGCATGGCGAACTCTGGCTACGATTTCGGGTTCAGACGTTCCGTATCCAGATGTCATAACTAAGTCCAAAATTTAATTTCGTTACTCATAGACTTTCTACAGTCCTTGGCCGCTGAGTTTAGGTTTCTATAGTTCAATTAGTGATAAGACACCTGATGCAGACTAAGATGAATAGACAGAAATCAGACAAGGGATGATGTCGCGATTGCTTTTAAAGCTATGAACCCATTTGTCCTGTTATCCCTAGTAATTTATCTAAGGCTGCCTGCTTATATCCGGGTAGGGTAGCCTAGCCTGTAAGTCATCCCAGACCTGTGGGACATCGCTCGTCTCTGGAAGATGTTGTCAATTTCAATCCGCAATCCTACTCTTAATTCACACAACTAATTGTGAAGTTCAGTCACTTTTACCAAGCCCCTGGGAGCCTTTAGTATAGGGAACGCCGAAAACTGATTTCCCTTCGAACACTTACGGATTGTTTCTCGGCTCGTACTCAAAATTTGAGTTAACTCTCCAGACTCACGCTTTTTTCGCCAGCCTCCACTCGCGATGTGCTAAGCTAGATGTGGCTATATCAAACACCTGGCATAACGCCATATTATTGGCTACGAAAAGAATATGAGACCCGGTGATCCGAACTAGTCCCCCTTGTGTGTCTCTGAGGAAGAATACGTGCGGGTCCAAGGGGTTAAACTGTTCTCGGATTTCCTTGTATATACACCGCTCACTGAAGGTTGGTTCAGTCGCTGGAACATATCATTCCCTAATTAGGGCGAATTTATCAAGTCCATGCTCTTCAGAAATTATCAGGTATTGGTGCCATGGCCCTCGATCACATAACGGTCATAACGAAGGCGTCTTCAATCGTAGAACTAGACCCACCCGATAGAAGAAACGTTGGTAAACAAGGCTTCATCACTGGGCCAAAGGCTATCCCCTGGGCAGACAACGACAATTATTCCGCAAATACTGAGCGTTCCTCTGCAGCAGGAGCGTCGACATCTTTAGTGAATTCATGTTTCACGTTTTTGAGAAAACAAGCACCTATTTACTAGGTGTCAGAAGGGAATGTCAACGGATCACAGCGGGAGACTTACAGACTAGTCCAGCTGCGCAAAAAGTAGCTGCACAGATCCAAACATTTCGAAAAGCAAGAGCGTATGCTTCTATCGATGCTGTCTCTGCTGCGCTCAGAATCATTGGAGTTGTATTCGGTACTTGCGCAATAGCAGCAGCGTCTCCGGAGGATAATATCGCAATAAGGCTGCCCAATTCGGACTTCGGGAACCCGAGTGGTAAGACTGCGGCCGCGATTTTTGGGGCGAGGTTGCTGGCGATGGCGCGTTTGAAAAGCGCATTATTCACTGCGAGCCCGACTGACGCCCCGAAGCTTCTAGTAGCTATGACAACACCTGTAGCTACTGAGATCATGCCTTTCGGTGTGCTCATCTGTGCGGCAACGGTTAGGTTCGTGAGTAGGCACCCAAGCCCTATTCCACCGATGACTGGGTATCCCCAGAGGACAGTGGCTGATGTACTGGTCTTGACCGACGCCATCAGGGAGTTAAATATAGCAAAGCAGATGAAGCCGAAGATGAGTGTCTCACAAAACCGCTTGGTCCGAGTTGTATAGAATTAAAGAGAGCAGACGCAGATGCGGTGAAGAACAGAATGCTGTAGCGGAGGCCAGCCTGGAACAGGTCCATCTGGGTTAAAGTCTGGACTTCGAAAACGTAGTAGCTGTTGGTGGTGAAGTATACCAGTCCTTCAATAAAAACGGCTACCACCACCACCACAAAATTTCTGTCCCCGAAGAGTTTATGGTTCATAATCCCGTCATCCTTATACCGCCACTCGTACACTGCAAAGGTGACAAGCAAAACGACACCGACCACGAAAGGAGCAACAACATGCGCGTTGGTCCAGCCGTAAGGATTCTCCGAGTACTGAAGAGCAGTACAGAAAGTAACCAGACCTATACTTAGCATCAGTGCCCCGGCCCAGTCCATAGAGGCAAACTTCTGTTGGTTTGTCAAAGTGCTTTCCTGTTCGCGCAGGGGAGGTCGGTATCCTATGGCCACACCAACGACGCCTATGAAGTAAAGTCCTGCAACAATGTACCAATATATGCGGAAATTCGCGTTATCGTTATTGAGGAGCGCACCACCCATAAGTATAGCTGCAATTGCCCCAATTCCAGCGGTAACATTGACAGAAGCCTGCCCATATGACCTATGCTGACGGGGGAGAATTTCGGAAGCGACGGCGTATTGGGAAGATTGGCAGCCGAAGGAAATGCCCAGGACGCAGAAACCAGCTATCAAGGTCTGTATATCCCCCGATCTTGAGATACAGAGTGCACCTCCCAAGCCGCAGAGCGATGTTATGATCACGATCCACTTGCGGCCCCAGTAATCAGCTGCTTGGCTCAGCATTGGATTGAGAGATAGGGTGAAAATCGTCACGATGGTGCTCAGCCACGCAGATTTGGAATTGTCACCAAGGTACTCCGTAGTTTGCATAGCGAGCATACCGGAGCCCACGAGCGCGATAATCCCGGCGAAAACTGACGCATTGATAGCCTGCAGAGATGTCAGCACAGCAAAACGAGCGGGGCGTTGTGTAAAGACAAGGATTACTATTAACGCAATTATGGTCCTTTCCCATTGCATCCGCGTCTGCGGTTCGACTACAATTGTGTTTGCCACCCGTTCAAGGGTCTCAATGTGTTCCTTATCACTGTCCATATTCCTGGGTTTGTAGCCAGGCGGGAATTCTGGAGAGGATCGTCAAGAGTTAGGGGCCTCATGGATTGGCCGTGCTTAAGTATGCTTCCAGTCGGTATAACGCCTCCATCTTAGCTACCGCTTCCACTTTTTCCTTGGGTCTGCAATCCAATCGGGCAGAATCCGGGGCAGAATCCGGGGCAGAATCCGGGGAAGATAGGCCCTTGATTCGTTCCGGGGAAAAACAATCGTTAACCACGGTTGCATAAACTCTCTTTTATTGGTGACCCCACGCAGTCAAGAGGAGCAAGAAGAGTATAGTTTGGCCATAACGGGTCACCTGTCGCTGCGTAGCGTCAGAGAGGGCCCGTCCGCGCTCCCCTGAGGGGAGGCAATGTGTCTGTATTGTAGTGGATTCTATGTACAGAGGGAAGGCGGGAGGGCAAAATCAAGACTTGACTGCGTGAGAGATGACGAGCTAGTCGCAGAGGCAAGCAACTGACTCTCGAGGCAGTTGTATTATTAGTAGTAGTGTGTATTTAACGGCCGTGGCTCGTGACGAGCACGCTATCCACTATCCCCGATCGGGGCAAAGGCCGCCAGGGGGTGAGTCCTGGGCGTCTCCAACTATTGCTAGTTCTATGTACAATTAAGAGACTTTGGCGCATTCACATAGCTGCCTCGGTCAACAGGAGGGTCTGCAATAGCAGGTTATATAGCAATGCCAGCTGCATGGATCCGTCTCCGCACCATGATCCGCCAATCCTCCATCTCTCTACTTTCTATCTTTCCTTCTACGTTTATTCCCCCTTTTTTCTTTTCTTTTTTTTTTCTTTTTCTTTTTCTTTTCTTTTCAGGCATTCTCAAGCAGGGGCCGACTTGGACAGATGTCGTCAAAGAATCGAGTTTCTGCTAGCCAGGCAGCCAGTTTGGCTGCGCCTTTTGGGGTTCCCAGAAGGAAGGGAATTGTCTCTGAGGGAGGCCCTGAGGGTCGGGGTAGGCGTCTCTTAGCTACTCGGCAGAAGAAGAAGTGAACTGGAGACTTCCTGGCTCCACACCGGCAATATAGATGTGCGTCTTCATGATTGAACCGCTCATGGTAGTCTGCAAAATCACCGTGCCCTGTGCGAGCTGCCAGGATCCGCGCGAGAAAGTGGCGTGGGAGGCGCAGCTCATCCGGGCATTTGGGGGAGGAGGTGATCCAAAGATCCTGGTATGACTTCGGAGCCGCGGCCTGCCAGTGCCTTTGCAGGCCAGAGGTTACAGCAGCCTTTGTCTGACGCTTAAGCGAGGCAAAGGAGTAGATGGGGGAAACAGGGGGCTCTGAGGCAGCTCCCCTTTTCGCAGCTTGGTCGGCTTCTTCATTCCCAGGGACTTTTGCATGTCCGGGGACCCAGCAAATACGTACGGAGCCCTCCTTTGTATAGGAGAACCTCTCTCGCTCGGGCCAGGTCGAAGCCAGGGTTCGGAAGGTCTCAAAAACTTCTTGGGATGACCCCGTAAAAGGTGAGAGCAGGCGGGTGGCTACTTCCGGGTTGTCTAGGCAGACCCAGAGGTCAGTGGCGAAGCGTGCGGTGTAAGACTGTATGGCTGATTTGATACCAGCAAGAGCTGCTTCAGCTTCGGCATCGAAAACTTCTTTGTTTGGTCCGAGGGAAAAGGATGATTGGTGACAGAGTCTTCCTGTCTGGTATAAAGCAAACCCAGCACCTGCCATACCATCAGGCAGTTTCGACCCGTCTGTGAATACTTTCATATCGTTGCTTGGGAGGGAGGAGTAAAAGGATTGGAAGTCGGCAGCTGCCTGCTCCTTTGATCGTCCGCTAGGTGCCTTTATTCGTAGCTGAGCGTCCGCCCGTGACTCCTTTCGGAGCCATGGGGCATGTTGCAACGGGTCTATCTGCTCTGATTCCGGCAGGGCCAGTATTCGGCGCGCAAACCGGCTAGATTTCCAGCCAGATTGCACTATTTTTGCTGCCCTCCTGCGTAGGGGGTGGTGAGGATCTAGGCGACGAACACGGATGGTAGCGGCTGCGGCTATATAGTCAAGCTCCACTTCAGCTGGCAGAAGCCCTGACTCGCGATACAGAGCAGGTAAGGGAGTGGTATAGTAGACAGGGAGAATTGCCCTAGCCCCCGTTTGTATGACTTTGGCTATCTTGTCCAGATGTCCCTGGACTTGGTTTGAGATAGAGCCTGCCCGGGGGCAGTGGCGCGAGCGACCTGGCCACCAGGTTTCCGCTTCAAAGTAGGCTTTTCGGGGTACACAGGCTGTCACAGCCTGCCGCATAAGGTAGGGCTTGATCCCGCGCATAGTGTTCCCAAGGCCGCGGAGGGCATTTGCAACTATCGGGGCCTTCGAGGTTGTCTCACCGACATGATACTTAAAGCTGAGTTTCTTGTCAAAGAGGACTCCTAACCAACGCAGGTAAGGGCGTTTTGTACTCTCAGAGACTGTGATCGGGCCTGCCGTGACGTCTGGTGTGCAGCTAGGATCCTGGTCATCCTGACGGCGCGAGAAGTGGATCAGTTCATATTTGTCAGGCGCGAAGGTGATTCCTTCCGTGGTACCCCAGTCGAGGGCTTCCTGCAGGGAGGTTGACAGGCTTCGGCAGTTAGCCTCCAGGGATGGAGAAGTTGCCAGGATAGCTGCATCGTCTGCGTATCCGAACCTGGCCTTTGCACTTCCGAGCCGGAACAGCGGGGCTAGATAAAGCATGAACAGGATGGGGGACACTGGCGAACCTTGTGGTAGGCCACAGAGTACCTCTGTTATTGGTCCTATTTCGCCGTCAATGCGGATCTGTACTACTCGCCCTGTAATGAAGGAGGCCACCCAGCGAACTAGCTTATCAGGCCAGCCTTGTGATCGAAGTCTGTGGACTAGTCTCCCAGGGAGGACTCCATCGAAGGCTCCCTTCACATCGAAGGTGAGGAGTGAGGCTGTTTTCTTTTGGTTGAGAGCCTGTTCCACATCGTGGAGCAGACATGTAGTCAGATCAATTGCTGAACGCAGGGGCAGGGCCCCGAACTGTTGACTAGCGAGGACTTTATAGTGGATAGCAATCCATGCTATGTTTCGGGCGATTAGTCTCTCGAGGCCTTTGCCGAGTACTGACAGGAGGGCAATTGGCCTATATGACCTGGGGCTCGACCAGTCGGTCTTGTTTGGCTTTTGGATTATAGCCAGCACTGCATGTCGGAAGCATTTCGGGTGGTAGCCGAATCGAAGGCAACCCTGGTAGAGCGCAAGTACCATGTCTTTGATCAAGGGCCATGCCACCTTGAATATACAGGTGGGTAGCTCGTCTGCGCCAGGGGTCGTATTTCCTGCTTGCAGCATTGAGTTCTCCACTTGGGCCATGGTTATCTCGGGGAATGGCAGGGAGCGAGATGGGACAGTTGGAGTATCCAGCGGGATGTCTCCTGCTTCAGCCGTGTTTTGAAGTAGGTTCCGGGATAGGATATCTCGTTTTTCTTGTAAGTCTACCGCTAGGGGGCTGTCAGGCCTCAAGGGGTCCTTTAGTGGGGGGCTGCGGTACGAGCCTGTTGATTTATGCCATTTGGCCATATCAAAGACTTCCTTGCCCTCAGTTACCGCGTTGATCTTGTCACGCCAGTATTGTACTTGGGCGCGTCGGGTTATTCGCCGGAAGTCCTTCTGTGTGCAGAGTCCGGCCCGGTAGTCTTGTAATGCCTTCTTGCACGCAGTGTTCCACCATCGTTGCCCCCCTCCCCGGGGCATTGACTTGTTTGCAGAGGCTGTGTATGCGCTATGAATAGCCGCGGTGATTTCATTTGCAAGGTAGTCTAATTCCTCTTTACTCTCTGCCGAGCTCCTGATATTCGCTAAGTTGGCAGCGAGAAGTGTAGGGAAGCGGGTGTGGTCTAGTGTGTCAAACCTTAGTCTTTGCGGGGTCTCCACAGATCCGTGTTCCCAAGGCATATCCGTGAGAAGTGGGCGATGATCAGAGGTAGCGTCTAGGTAGTGTGCGACCCTAGTACTGGCTCCTAGGAGGCTCGGGGAGCTTGAGACAAAGGCAAGGTCCAGCACGTTGCCTCTATTATGTGTGAGGATGTTAGTCTTAGATGTAAACCGTAGTCCACGCTCGTCGAGCCATTCTGTAAATGCGCCCGCAAAGGCGGTAGGAGGGCGATGGAGAGACGGCTGCCATTTGGTGTGTAGTAGGTTGAAGTCTCCAGCAAGCAGGGTAGGCATTGTGAAGTAGGACTCGGGCAAGCAAGTGAGAGCTCTCGCTGCTTCTCCTCCCCGGATTGCAGCGACTGGAGCATTGTATATGTTGAATATCAGGGCAGATTGCCCTAAGCATGAGGAGATCTGGAGTGGGAGAAGGTCGGAGAGGATCTCCTGGCTTATTGTGTCGGGACGGAGCTGGGAGGCTCGGATGCCACTATTCCGGCAGACATAGGTAAGGACTCGCGGGATACCACTTGCCTCCCAGGAATCGGTTGGGGAGAAGCACTCGTAGGACGGGTGTCTCTTCGTGATCTTTCGAGCGAGGTCTTTGTAGATGTAGGGCTCCTGTATAAGGATAATGTCGATATGGTTGGAGTGTGCCTGGGCGAGGGCAATCGCGTGGGCTTCTGGGTTGCGGCCAACATTCAGCTGGAGTATAGAGACGGGTTCTTTCCTTGGGCATTTTCGGTGGTTCATAGTTGTTCGTGCATTAGGACGTCGAAGCTGTTTTGTGGCTTAGGACTTGCGAAGCGGACTGCCCTGTTCGTTACTGGTGGGGAGTCTAGGGGCTCCTGAGGCGGCGGGGTAGCCGTGCGGAAGGGGAATGGTGAAGGATGGCTGTTCGTGACCGTGTCTTGATCCTGGGCGGTTTCGGGGACTTGCATGCAGCACTGTCTCTCTACGCGTGCCTTAGCAAGCTCCAGGGAGCAAGTCTTGCGGATCTCAGCTTGTTGGGCCTTTGTGCATCGAGAACCGGTCTAATCGAGGCAGTTGTAGGAGGAAGAGGCCCTCCGTAATGTCGGTGTAGATATCACGTAAGATTACATTGTGAGCCAATCCCAATAAAACCACTCCCTATTTATCAGCTAGAGCTACATGCTTAGTATAGCGCTGTGGTTGTGAATTGCACCTTATTAACAGTCTATTGGATCGCCACAGGTTGCAGACGCCATCTTCAAGCCTAAAACGACTTCCATAGGTTTCACTGGTACGGCATCTTTCCTCCAACGCTTCTAAAAGACACATTTACCGAACATGATGAGAAGGTACATGTACAGTTAAAAGAGTTGCCGGGGTATTCTTCTAAAGAGAGATCAACCTGAGGTCACCTGACTTCCCACACAGGCCAAAAAGACCACTATCCGTGCCTTTCTGCCCACCCAAACCGGGTAGCGGTTTGGGTGCGCCCGCAGTCCTGGCCATTTTATTACCAGTAACCTAACCTACCCACCAGCCAATTCAACCACCCAAACGGCCTAAATCTAGCGATTTGATGAATCTCGCCTACCCGAGGCTTGCAAAGCGGTTTTATCCCGAAATGAGCCAAATATCATTGATATTGCGCGCGAATTTGGCGAAAATCGCACGACCTTGGGTAGACGCGTCGAAAAGACCAAATCGCCTATTACACCCACCAACTCGCTAAAGAATCCCCTGGAGCCATTCCAGGAGAAGGCCTCGATCAGCTAGATAGTCCATATGCATAGCTAGAACCTCCCATCTACCCCAGGTAGTTAGCGCATGAGCAAATTGCGAATTGACGCGATCCGGCCATCTTGCTTTCATTCGTCTGGGCTGGTTTATAGACCTCTCGAGATGATCGAATGGCTGATTATAGATACTAAAGACAATATGAATAGTGACATTCTTAGTCTTTGAGAGAACGCCATGACGTATTTTGCCTTGCAGATAGTTTTATCGGCGGCTCTCCCTATGGACTTAGCCTCTTATATCTGCTGCCAGACTTCGGCAACGGTTGGACATTCCCCGCAGAACCCCCACCCCCCCCCGCAGCACCACCCCGCATCCCCGCGCGCATTCCCGGGAATTAGAGGAGGGACTCCCCGTTGGTTCATGTCAGACTTTGGAAACCACCAAACTGCGACACACGTCGAACCGTGAATGGGCAAAGGTGAGCTTCCGGGGAATGCCATTGGGTCGACTTTGTTAAGAGTCATCCGGTTACAATGAAAGTCACGACTCCAGCGCCGCCTAGCTACATTGGATCTGGGCTAATAGATCCCTGGTTGCTTAATTTCGATCGTATTATACGTCCTCGAATTTTATAAGGCGCAGCATTGAAAATTAAGAAACCTTGTTCAAATATCTCAATTCTATGAAATTTATGCTCAGGCTACTACAATAGATGCCCTTAGGAATTGGGGTCTGCCTTTGACCTTGCCTGGAACTGCCTCAATAGCTCCCTCCCGTAGTCATTGCCATTCGGAGTTCTGATCACAGTGTGAATATGAAACTTTTCCGGCACCGTATTCAGAAGGAAAACACCACGGTGATGATCGAACTCCACCACGATGACGGGGCTCTGTATGCGATAATAGAACGGATCTTCATCGCCAAACCCTCCAATCCACGAAAAGAACGTTTCGTCCAGTCTTTGGCGGATTTGCTGCATGCGCGCCGCAAGCGGCCCAGGGGGAAGAAGCACCAAGAAAGTCTCAACCGTCTTGAGAAGAAGCTCCTGTTGCTGGGCTGGCATACTAGTCGCTTTGATGCCTTCCGTGGGTACGACGCGGTTGTCTTGAAATGCTCCGCAAAGGTGTCTCTGCTCTAGTGTCAGTACATGGGGTAGCTTAGAGCATTTTGCATTGTACCTCGTCCGCGGGGTGCCATCGCCCGGAAGGCATCTTCTCGTCCTCCAAGTTGGGGTAAATCTGCGCCCCCTTCTGTAGCCCGGGAGGGAGTGTCTGCATGAGCTTCAGGCCAAGAACCTCCTCCGGACTGCAAAGGGTCAGGCCAGAGAGAGGACCAGCATCAATGATGTTTGGTTCCGCGCCGACAAACACTGGGCTGATGACCATCTGCCTTTCGACAATGAATATGTTTAGGCAAAGATGATGGCCGTAGAGGGAGAACCCCCAAGGCTTGTGCGTCGACGGGATGCCGAAGAAGGCGAGTCTGCCAATTAGCATCGGAGAACATAGATCGCGGAGCCGCTGCACCTACTGGTAGCTGTGCCGGTTGAGAATCGGCTTCGCATTTGTGATCTCGCCGAGGAATTCGTTCATCTCCATGGCTGCAGTTGCCTTTTTGAACCCGTCAGCGCTCAGGCTTGCGCGGAGAAGCTCGAGCGCAAGCTCGATCTGGTTCTGTTGCAGGTTCTCCAGTCTCAGCCCGGTTGTGCAGATTAGCAGCTCGGGATTGGACCACTTTCTCCTGTGTCGTGACACCGTCAGCCCACTATTTTGGAAAGGGGAGTCAGAGGAAGTTAGTCTTACCAAGCATCGGAGTCAATCTCATGGCTGCAGGCCGCCAACTCGGTAGGCGACATAGATTGGCGGACTCGCGTGGCCGCACGAACCTAGAGCTGTGCATCAGCGAGACTGGGAACCATTGGATTGGTAAGGGCACCGGAACCAACCGTTTCCTCTACTGGCGCGTTTTCGTCAGCGAGTTCGAACAAGCCCTCCCTCTTTGTGCCGTCAACTGTCACTCCGAGAAAGGGCACCTTGAGATTCTCAAGCCATCCGCTGAAGACTGGGCCTGTCTTTGGGCCATACACGATGGGATCGGAGTACGATTTTACGTCAGCCTTATCGAGGTCTTTGACTTTTGGATGGTCTATTTGAATTAGTTTGAAAATGACTGACAGACATACTCAGGATGCAGGTGGGGCAGTACCGGGGGGCGGAACCACCGCGCGGAAGCTGTGCTTGCTTGAGTTGTCTGTAGGTAGAACGGCCATTTTACGATGTGTAGCTGATCCGACTGGCATGGTCACGTTTAAAAAGGTAGAGCATTAATATCCGCATGCTAATGATGAGTTGGTGTCGGGCCTCGGGCCCACAGAGTCGCGCAGAATCATCCCCGGAAGCACACGGGCGATCTTGACATACGGACCTTCTCTCCCGAGGATTCCATGACACCCTCGATCTTTGTAACCGCCCAGGAGCGTTTTTCGAGAGCCTGCTCTCCGTCGATCTATCGATCTCAATCGCCATTCATCACTTTCTCATCGCTGGAGAGACTGTGCGTCATAGTTCGCTCCTCAACAGGCACTCCTAGATCCCCTTTTCTCTAGTAGACAAATCTACCAAATCCATCTGCCCTGACTCTAAAATGCCTTTTCTGCTATTTTGAAGGATGACTCGCAGGCCGGTTACGCTAGTAGCCGCACCTTGGATGCTACTGGCCCATCTTTGAGATTCTCCCAATGTGTGTTCAGCAGACAGACGCACCAAAGTAGAGTAAAATGACCATCTGCCAATGGCGCCTCTTGTTCAATCTATGAAAGAATCCATTTGCAGAAGGGGCGGAATAGTTTTGGGTGTCGAGCTTGCAAGAGCCATCACCAAACTGTAACAGTAAGATTGGGCGCCGTCGGTGGTGGAAAGTTGACAAAGCTTGCAGGCGCTCTTATTGTTTCTCATTGTACACAGTGGGAGTAGATAAAAACGGGCACATAATCTGCGACATAAAAATAATTTTTGTGTATCCTGCTGGTCGCCGGTGGCTGGAGATTCGGAACAGAAGGATTTGCCCTTACCAGAGCGGTAAAGCAATCAATCGTCAATCAGAGGTCTACGGTCGCTTCCTCGGTCACTTCCTCGGTCGCCGACATAAATTTGACTCCTGCCACGTCCCCGTCCGAGATGCACTTTGGAGCAATATTACGTCACTAAACCCCTGCCTTGTTCTAGCTTGGCTGAGCGACTCCCGCCCCCGACAAGCGCAGTCAGCTTGTCTGAAGCGTACGGAGTACTCTTGATTGAGATCCTTGTTTAAGCGAGGCAAATACCGAAAATGCTCCGCCCGGAATCGGCGAGGTTTGATGAGCGGCGGATTCGGAGGACGAGTTGTTTCTCCCCCCATCTTCGGCCATGATAGAGGTGCGCTTCCACGGAACTGTCGGAACTATGGGCTTTACCACGCCCCCGGAAAGTTGAAAGTTCAAAATGGCCAACCGGGAATTTTGTACGCGATAGTAACCAAGGTAACTACAGTTTACCCTGTCTGCATTAGACTAGTCGGCTCTGCGTAAAAGCTGTCGTAGTACTCTCGCCTTCGGTCAGTCCAGCAAAACATGGGTTACAATCTCGCACTTGCTACAGGCACAAGGTTATTATTGCGGAAGCGAAAGGTCTTCGCGTATGTTGATAGCTAGCAGTGTCAAGTTCGTCTTGGACTAATTTCGTTAAAATTTCCCTTTGATTGTATTTTACCATCGTTGACCTACATCCTGATTTATGATGTTGATGCTAATGTCGCCTATTTGGTCGGGCTTCAACGATTGTTCAGTCAGTCTTCCACTAACGCAATCCAGAGATGAGAGACTTTGGGTCAAGGAGTTTAGTTGAAGTTTCTTCCGTGGAACTTCCCTCCCAATTGGCCTATGCGGAAGACATAATTTGCCCTGATGCACGCGATTTTTCAGAGACCAGTAGATTCACTTGTGCCAATGCAATAACTGATTAAGTCTCCCGAGGCGGAAAAGATCGGAACGATTACAGTGAGTTCCGAGTTCAATTGATATTTCCTTTGTCGGGTCTTTGGAGGTGTTTTACCACCTTTCTTATTCCCCTGATTTAAGTTTTGTTTTGTTAATACCTACTTTTAAGATATATCTAAGTATGAGATTTTGAATTTGGAGATCGGGAGGAGGCATGATCGATTCAATGATATCACGTGGCTTAATGTTTCGCTTGATGAGCCCTTAGAGAAATTTCCCCATCAATCTATTCAAACATCCAGACTAAATTAGCATTGAGCTGTTCTCCATGGTCGGCATTTCCCCTCCCCCGTTCTGGGGGTAATATCACGCCGGATTCCACGCGCTAGTCAAGTGCAGGAAGTAAATACCCGGACCCACGCCCAAGCTTGAGAGAGTGCCCATTCAATTTCTATATCACCTCGGAGACCCTACGGCTGAGTAACACATTATCCTTCAAATGATCACTAATATCGAGTCAAAGGACATAGACTCCTATTAATCAACACCCTATTATCCCGAGTCACGAAGAAGCTTCATGCAGATGCCTTCAGACTGGACGCATTTGATTCGATTCATCAGTGAAGAAGATGGACTGCAGCATACATATCGGACAATTGAATCCAGACAATTATCCGAATTTTGGCGTGGTTTGTTTCAAGGGCGAGAGAGTCGAAGTGCAGCTTATTAACGGCTCTATATTTAATGAGTTCGTTACAGACTCCGTCAGGCATGTTTTATACGTAAGCACGTAATAAGTCGGCACCCCTAAATAAAACTGATTTTGTTTGACTAGCTACTTACCCCAGTCAGAATAGAAGATGTGCCTTTAATACGCTGCATTTAACCCAACTACCGTTACTATGCTAAAGAAGCTGGTCTGCCTATTGCAGAGACCCATGTGCCATTTATCAAGCCTCGAACTGCATTGCGCTGACCAGTCCCTCTCCTGCCATGATAAACATTTCCAAGTTAGCCCAAGACGGATTTAGCGATTGTGAAGCTGAGCTTTCCTTCGTCATATCCAAGAGTGGCCACGACATTCCGGAATAGAAAGCATGGGACTACGTATTTAGGTTGACATGCAGCAATGATGTCAGTTCTCGTAAGCAGCAATTGAAAAATACGCAATGGTATTTTTCGAAGGTAAGACACTAATAAATGCAAGCGTTGTCGTATCCAGGACAGAAACTTCTTATATTGATATTACACTAGGGTTTGATTCCTCATGCCCCTTTGAACCGGTTCTCGTTTCTCCTTCAGCCATTGACCCGGAAAACTTAAGATTAAAGGAACTTATAATGGGGTCGTAGTTAAGGACTCCAATACGAGGTGATTTTAATTGGAAAATAAACCATCAACTCAACAAGCCGCTCACCTGAGATACCCAACACACTACAGGGAAATGATTTTCAATATTCCCAAGCTTGTTGCATTCCTATTGCAAGGCACGACATTGGAAAGAGGGACGGTAGTTATGACAGGTACAGGTACAGGACCAGACATAGGCATGGCTCACGATCCTCCGATCGTCCTGAAGGACGGGGACGACATTAGGGTTGAAATCGAACGGATCGGCACATTGATCAACGTGGTTCACTACGAATAGAACGGAGTACAATAAAGCGTGGTAAATTTTGTTTACCGCTTCGGTACTATACATAGTTTACTCCTCAAAGACAGCCTTCGAAATGGACTTTAATGGGACAGTGCACTTGAACAATCTCCTGGGAAGGACGCTACCTGCTTCCAGACCAAGTCTTGGGCAGACATCACCATATCATCGAACATCCTTTTCAACTCGGGACAAGCCACATCGGACGGAATATCACGCTCCAAATGGACCCTGCCCGCACGAAGATGCTCAAGATCGGCCCGCGCGGATAAGCTCAATGGCGACTTCGAGATGCTTCTGTATAGAACAGCTATTGCCGCCATGTAGTTGTTTGTATGAAAGCTATTCGCTGTCAGAAATAAGTGTCAACGTCGAAGGACTGAGGGCGCAAACCTTGCCACAAATAGCTTTCATCTCACCCATGCCACTGTTCGAATGCATTAGCTATGCGACCGCTACCAAAGCAAGGGCCTTTGCATACTCGTTCAGAGTTTTAATAAAAGATCGTGCTGCCTCAACGCACAACATCTCACTCGCCCGGTTCTGCTGATCATGAACCCCGAGCCACCCGCCGAGTGTCGAACGAAGCCTTAATATTGTCCAATGAACCACGCGGGACATATTAAAGTACTCCAGGTGTATGAGCATGATATTAGCATACAGTTCCGGGGAGGCTAAGATCAGATCACCGGGACGGCATTCTAAAGGAACACTGTCCTTCCACGATATAAGCTCGTTCGTTATCCGCAAGAGGGCGTCTAGCCTAGCTGCAGAGGTGGAATTCACATGCATGGCATGGCAGAATCGATTCTGGATTTGACTCAGGCCGCGCATCCACGTGTATATCCGTGGCAATCCTTGAAGAGAGCCATCGTTTGTATCGTTATCCTCTCGGTTTGTAGTGACTGGTGAAATTTCGTAGGTGGCATCTACAATCCCCGGAGGCCGGCCTTGAGACAGTGACAAAGTGCTTACACGCATCAGTGGGAGATCAAACTTGCACAGCGTTCAGGCTACTTACGCATCTAGGCTGAAAACAATCCACCATAGCCGAGAACGAAGGTTATGCTGGCTGTCCGTCATGTCCATCTCCGGTGGACATTTTCGATGCAGGCCTAGAGCTAAAGCGACACGAATGGCTAAGCCACAAAAAATCCAGGCGATTCCGGCCTTGCCGTGATAGAAATGATAAACGACCTACTTCATCAGCTTAGGGTAACTTCCAGACGGTGTGAAGATATGCTCACGTAAAGGAGAAGAATCTGTAATGAAGTTTCCGTAGGTGAAGCGATGGAATCCTGTAACATAGTCCACGCTTGGTGGTATGCATTAGCAGATAGTTGTTTCATTGCCTCGGGCTGCTCTCCGTTGCACTTGGCACTTAGTCCTCCTATTGATAGTACGAGGAAGTACAATGAGTAATCCAAAGCATTCAGATGTGGACAAGTCGCGGAATAGAATGTCTTGAATCGCTCACGATATGAGTCCTCGTCAACGATCGGGTAAAAGATATTGAGCGACCGGAAGAATGCTTATGTGCAATGTGAGCTTCGTACCGAACCCACAAACGGAGTTAGGGCCAGCAGACCTTCAACTGCTTGTGTAGCAATCTCTCGGGGGAGGAGATGAAACAACGACAAATCCACCATTGATGAAAGTCCGACTTCGTCTACATGAGGGCCGGCTTCGATGAGGAAACGAAGAGAGGAAGACGTGAGGGGGAGATTCTGAAACTCAAGGGCATCTTTCAAACAAATAGCCAGAGTAGCACCAATAGAATTAAACCCTAAAGAAAGACACATTAGAAGATCTGCTTTGAAACGAACAAGGCGACCTTACCAAGATAATTGGCATCAACCTCGTTCTTCCGAACAAACATGCCCGGGACAGAGGTTTGAAAATGAACATTATCCCCATTATTCTGTGTCAATGTGCAGATATTGGAAACTCTACCACGATCCAAATTGTCATATTGCCTTGCCGAGGATGAGACCTTTGGGGAGTAGCTTAAAATCTGATCTGAGCTAGTGGTTGGTATCCCAGGGTCCATTCGGAACCCATCGCTTAGACTCGCTGACTCTGGAAGGGCCAGGCTTGGTAGACCGCCGGAGATTGTTCTGTCTATACCCCAGAACCCCGAGGAAAAACCAATGCCAAGTTGACGCAACGGGGAATCAAAATCATCAGAAGCAGGTGCAAGTTCAGAAAGCTCTTGTTCCTGAGACCATGGGGTCAATGACGCACCAATGTGGCTTGCAGTGCCGTTGATGCTACAAGTGACTTCTGACTCCACATCTGAGGCCATCGGAACCTTCATACCTGTATCCTCCGCAGGCGGCGTACAAACCGACTTCTCGGCTTGGATGGGACGGTCGGAAGTGGTCAAGTCGCGGGCCGGTCGCTGATAAGGGCGTCGGCCCTGGTCGTGTGAGGTGCATTCAGCATCGTAGAGCTGACAATTTAAGCAGGGGCGCTGGTTAGGGGTACATTTCAACTTTGACAAATAATCCGTTAGCCAAATGTCATTAAGACAACCAACCGTAAGCGCCACTAGCTTACCCTTTTCCTGCGGCAAGGATCACAGGCGCGGGTGACGCGCTTGGCACGTTGTGTACGGCCAGTTTTTTGGATCTGATTGCTCATGATGCTGGAAATTTGTCAAAGGCAAAGTTTCTCGAAACTCCTACTGCTGCGGAGTGTAAGGTCAAGTTCGCATGGAAGAAGCGGGGAAAGCGGAGCGGTATTGCCGGTATCTGGGGCTGCTGCCAAGAGACAATAGTTAACTAACGTAATCCACAAGCGGGCTGTACAAACAAGCGAGCTGGACACCCCAAAACACCATAGTAAATGCGATATTTCAGGCCCCTTGGATATCAACAACGAGAAGATGATTTTACTGGATTTTCAGTTTGATGGTTTTTCTTATTGTAAGAAATAGAATAGCTGATATGAAATATGTAGTAAATGGTTATTTACTTGCATTACCAAAAATACGCTGGCAGTCACGGATGCAAATACATATACCAACATTATGTTGTCTCAAAATACTCTTGAACATTATAAGTATACGTAAAGGGATATATTAAGTACTATGATATCCTAGAATTCTGTTTTAAGTCTCGAGTGTTGAAATATCAAGTTGTGAAATATCGCATTTACTACGGCGTTTTGGGATGTCCAGCTCGCTTGTGTGTACAGCCCGCTTGTGGATTACGTTAACTAACTAACTAACTAACTAACGTATTTCACCAGTGAGCTGCGCACACCAACGAGCTGCGCACCCCACCCAGCCTACTAATTTCAAATGTAAATAAATATGTCAACCAAAACTCCATTAAATTAAATACACTAAAATCATAATCTATCTGGACATGTTTCTCTTCTATGCCCTGGCAATCTGCATATTCCACAGGCCCGGGGGGGGGCGTATACGTGGCTGTATAGCTAGTTCTCTAGGTATGCCGGCGCCGGGGGGGGTGCTTCAGTTGCTTCCTGTTGCTGCATATTTAATGCAGAGGCTTCTTGAACTGAAAGGCCTTCTTCAGTAGGAATAGGCCTTCGGGATCGAGTACGCTTTTGCTTATGCTTCTCGTTGGCGGCGCGTAATTCCTTGATTTCTTGCGCTTGTAAAATATGACTTTGTAGCTGGAGCTGGAAGCCTTTTATAAACTGGTTTAATGCACGATCTGATGGGCTGGGCGGGCTTCGAGATCTTGTACGAAGTAAAGCTTTGATTGACGAAGCTTGTCGACGTAGATCTTTCTCTGTAAATGGAGTTTTTGGCGTAAAATTCCGGCTTGATTCACTCCCCCGGCTTGGAGGGGGGGTTGGGGTTCGAAGCCGAATATTAAGCTTAGAGATCACTCTCTCCGGTTCAAAAGGGACTAAACCGGCTGCCCCGAAGCTATTTTTAATAGTCTCCGGTTTAAAAGCTTTAATTCGTGCGAGAGGGTATGCTTCGAGGAAGTCAAGTTTGTCAATATGATTGATCCCGTTCCGCATCTTAGTTTCAACCATCCGACCGTACGCACGTTTTAACACCGCAAAACAACCAATATCTAAAGGTTGTAAAAGATGAGACGAATGCGCAGGCATACAGATTGGTATTACCTTATTTTGCTCGCAAATTTCGTCAAATTGAGGTGTTAAATGACTTCCGTGGCCATCAAGTATCAAAAGCCGGTATATCCCCTTTGTACGCGAAGTACTAGGAATAAAGAGCTTCTTAAGCCACCGAAGTCCAATTTTATCAGAGGTCCAACCATTAGGACTGACTTCGAAGCGCTAATCCCCCGGAAGGCCGTCAAACTATGATTCAATAAAGACTTTGCCTTTAAAAATCACACACGGAGGAAGGGCCCATCCAGAAGCATTCGTACATTCAATTGTAGTCACCCATTCACGATTTCTAGGTTGTAAAACCGGCCTCCGACCGTAGTATTCACTCCTCGTAATAACCTTCGCAGTTACAGTCAATCCTATTGCAAAACCGGTCTCATTAAAGTTATAGATATCGTCAGGGTCGATTCCAAATTGAAGGATTGTCTTTTGAACTAAATCAAACCACTCCCTAATGATTTTAGGGTCTTCGCATTTCGCACGCTCGTAGTTATAACGTTTCGAGAATCGAGAGGAAAGAAGAGGACGTCGTTTTACGAATTTCGTAACCCAATTTTGGCCGACCGAAAGAACCGGGGTAGTTCCACGCTTTTGAAGCAGAAGATCCGCCATTTCTCGTACCATAGAGGGCCGGGGGGCTGCTCCACGTAGATCCATAGAGAGAATCCATTTTTCAAGAGATTCCTCCTCAGTTTCAGACAATTTATGGTTGTTGGCGCGTGTTTCAGCGCGAAAGGTAGTCCCACGAAGGCGCGTTCGAAGGGTTGATTCGGGTACGTCAAAACGGCGCGCTGCTTCGCGAAGAGCGCTGATTTCTTGCCTCTTAATAGCCTGTATAGCTAATAGGCCTTGACAAGTCCCGCAGCACCGGTGCTGCAGCACCAGTGCTGCGGCAGCACTAGGCCTTTGGTTCGGTGCTGCAGCACCAAGGCTTGGCAGCACCAGATACTTGGTTCGGTGCTGCAGTGCTGCAGCGGGAGTGCTGCAGCACTGTAAACAGTGCAAACACGACTAACCTCGTGATATGCATAAGTTATGTAGAAAAGCCAGTAATTTTGGGGTATTTTATTTACAATAAATCTGGAAATCTGGAAAAGATCATTATTATATTTGTTCGATTATTTGCGCTTTATTTGGTCCTCTTAGTATATACATATTCATCATCATCTCTCCGACGCTTCCGTTCCCTATGTGGACGCTGGCTATCGCTTTGTACAATTCTAACTATTGGGTGATGATTTAGAAGTTCAACTGAGTCAATCTCTTGATCCAGAGTCTCCTGATCCAGAGGTAGGTCTGGGTCCTGGAGACCAGGTGAAGCATCATGATCATGGGCGTCCATATTATCGGCTTCAGATACGTATTCGGTTTCAGAATCAAGTTCCTTATTATCGCTGATACCAGCCATATCATAATCAGATAGTTGGGCCTCTGCCTCCTCATCAGCCTCCATCCTCTCACCTAGGTCCTGACTTTCTGTAGATAGCTGGCCTTAAGCGTGGTTTGCATCAAAACGCGTCATACAGCGGAGCATTATTAGATCTTGAATAGTCGTTGCATTGAGAGATCTATGTCTGTAATAGCAGATATCCCGCGCCGAGCTGAATAACCGTTCAACTCCTACGCCAGTAGCAGGAACAGAGAAGATATCCCGGGCTAGCGCCGCAAGGGTTGGGAACTGGGTCTTATATTGTCTCTAGAATTGACATAGGTCATCATTATCAGTTCCTTGCGAAGTTAGTATATATTATAGTTTCAAGTTCTATAGTATATATACGAAGATTGAGATAACCTATTAACTCTTCTCGCTACCTAACCTTCTCTTAGATAGCTGATCTCGGTCGGGTCTGTGCAAGTAGACTAGACATACTCCCAGTTCGTTGTAGAGCCTTGCCTTTATCCACTGATTGAGTTGTAGGCTGGCGCTGATAGTATCGCTCAAGGTAGGAATGTAGAGACCTTTCGTATACTATATACCAGTCCGCATTATCACTAGCCCAGTCTGCTCCCTTAAAGTAGTCAAGCTTATGCACAGGGGTAAGGATCGTCCCCATTGCATAAAGATGCCTATAAGCCTTCTCAGTATCCTTGTAGTAAGTTGCAAGCTTCTGTTCTCCAGCCTTCAAAGCACAAAGCATCGCCTTTTTCTAAGGAACCTTCTTCCGGTGTAGGCGCTTCTGGGAGTCTTCAAAATGTCCAAACAGTCTGTTGTATACCTCGAACACGCAATAAATAGTGACATCCTTAACCTTGGATAGTCCGACTGTCTATATGTAAAAAGGTTTTATGATATAAAGTAGGTATTCAACCTGCCGCCACTCTTATACACTTAGCTGGAACCGAAGCTAGTTATATAGAGTATAGTACCTGTTAAATGTAGCGGACAGACGATTTGCGCGCTGAAGTATTAGGTATGTTGAATTCTAGCGGGTACGTACATCTTGTATTGGTACGAGCTTCGGCTCAGTGTCTTGTAGTGTTAGAAAGAACTCCCGTCGTTGGGGACTGGCGTTGATATAGACTGCAAAAGCACGGATCTAGAAATAGTATAAGTATGCTTTAATAAAGATTTTGAATAACTGACCTTTGCAAGTGTATAGATGATTCCTTTCTCAGATTTGGCCTTTTGAAGAGCCGACTTGTTCTCTTCCTCCGACCAGATAGTATCGGCGGTATCATTGTTTGGGTTGGCTTTTATCAATCTAAGGAGGTCCTTTAAGCTGAGCTGAATCACATAGGTAAGGCATAGAATTCGTACAACTCGTGTGCTATCTAGGAGATTGAGCTGTTCGATCGACTGGTAAAGGCTCTCTATAAGCGTTTTATTGTTAGAGGCGTTATCGGTAGTCACCGTAAGCACTCTATCAATAATATTATGCTGCTGTAGTACATCCTGTAGTATCTCACTCAGGTGACTACTAGTATGCTGACCATATACTGGCTCAAAGCCTAGTAGTATCTTATAATAATTCCAGCCAGAATCCACAAAATAGCCAGTAATTGCCATGAACGCTTGTTGAAAAGGTGAAGTCTAGTAGTCAAGTGCTATTGAAAGCTTAGCATTCTTTGGTAAAAGAGAAAGGGCCTTTTGATGATCCCCCTTAACCATCATTTGTAGGCGACGCCGTGCTGTCTTAGGAGTCAAGATTGGAGGTATATCTTTTGAGAGGCGAGCAAATCGAACAAATTCAAATATTTCCGGCCTTTCGAGGAACTGGAAGGGGAGCTGATATATTGTGATTAAATTGATTTGAATTCGTTCCCAATCCTTAGTATTAAAAGTGGTCTTCTGCTCCGAAGGACACTCGGACTAAGATATATTAAATTAGTATATAGTTCGTTTTGAGATATAATAGTATATATTACCGCAAACTGTAGCGATTGCCTTAATGTCTGCTGAAGAGAAGAACTCCTTCTACCCTACTGATAGGTCTTGCTCTCACGGTGCTTTTTTAATGAGTGAAGACCTCCAGACTGTGATGGATGAGGAATCGCCTTTCTATATCGTCGACAAAGTGCTATCGGCTGTCCAGTCTGATAGTGTGCGACCTAGTCGAAGTGCTCCCAATATGGTGATGTATAATTCGCTTCAAAGTTCACTTTACGTCGTGAAGTATTTGGTTGGGCGTGTGTAGTGTGTCGCTACTACTCAATAAATTGTGTTTTGTTCATCTTCGTATAGCACACCCAAAGCTTCTTGGCTCCAGGGCCAATTCGTTCGAGGGTTGTTGGAGCAGTGATAGTATGTGGAGTCTGGAACTCTGGAATGCTAAGGATTGAGGGGGCTTCGGGATTTGGTGTTTGTTGGCTGATTGACTGGTCAGGAGTAAGGGGATCATATATTAAATCGTATGAAAGAAAGTCGCAGTCGGTAAGGCGGTCTGGATATCCAATTTGCGATGAAGATACCTGCGAAGAAGGGCTAGCCTCAGCGTACTGTCCAAAATGTGATATATTGAAGGTTAAGGGCAAATAGTATGTATAGGTATATAGTATAAGGTAAAGGGGAAAACAGAAGCATAAATAGCCTACCTAGACAAAATCTGCGACCGACATAACTAACAATAAATAGGGAGGGTATCTACTATGTTAGTATAGTGGTAGATAGATCATAAAGCCGAATATAGATCTCGATATCTATTGGCTATTCACCTCCGACTCCTATAATAGCCCCACCGTAGTACTGCAGTACTCCCGCAGTACTCCCGCAGCACTCCCACAGCACTCCCGCAGCATTACGATATAGTGCTATGATATAATATATTTCGGGGTCTATATTATCCCCTTATTCTATATAGCTACCTAAAGTCCTATGTTCTGACCTCGGTCAGAAAATAGACAGTATGTTAAGTCAGTATACAAAGCCTTCTACACCCCATATTTCTGACCTCGGTCAGAAAATAGATGGTTATGTCAAATCATTATACAAAGCCTTCTACGCCTCATATTTCTGACCGAGGTCAGAAAATAGACAGTATATTAAGTTATTATACAAAGCCTATACAGTATATTAATTATAAAGATCAAAATAAGATATAAGGTAATTCATCCGGTCGCAGCACTATACTACTTAAAAAAAGGGTGAAATATAGGCTTTTACTGTAGAAAAATAAAATCGAAACTACAAGGTACAAACTAGAAGGTATATACATGGAGTAAATATATATATCCACACACAATACCAGTACATTCTCTTCCAGATAATATCAACCACTAATTCTATACTGTTTTGGGCTGATTTTACTTTGAATCTACATTTGTATAGGACTTGAAGCTTTTAATCTATTTCTTGAACGTGAGTTGATACGAATCTTAGCAGTGAGTGACCATAACTACCTCCCAATGCCAATACATGTGTAAAAAACAGTAATTTATCAAAATAAGTCAGCATTTTATCCATCCATTTTGGGTAATGCTTGGCAGAATTATGCTAGCGCAGCACTAAAACTGGTGCTGCGACGGTGCTGCAGCACTTAGTGCCGCAGCACCATACAACAGCACCAAAATTGGCTTAGTCCCGCAGCACCTCGCAGCACCATATCGCAGCACCAAAATTGCCTTGGTGCTGCGGGACTTGTCAAGGCCTACTCAGACACTTCGCTGCAGCGAATATGGAGCATAGGTAGGGCACGTCCGTCTCGATACAAGCGCAGTCAAAAAATGAAAATTACCATTTTATTGAAAGGTATTGTAATATTTACATCCGTGCGCCGAAGCTATCACTCCCACTCCAAAACCTGGAATATACAAAGGGAGATCCCCATGCAAGTTGCTTGCCCCTTCGATTGTGCATACACCTGCCCAGTCCTCCACCTCTGCATTTATCATAGAAAAGGACGGCATCGATATGGTAAGGGCAAGATTATTCGCTTCTTTTCCCATACTAAGATTTATTATAAACTTTCCCCAAGCCGACCTCAAGATATCAGCCCGAATATCATTAACAGCTTTGCAAATTTGGTGGCTGGGTACCCCAGGCCTGGAAGACGCAATTTAACGGCAACGCAAGCTCGATCCTGGGATTGTATCACTAGTACTGGCCAGTCAACGTCTCAGGAAGAGTGGATACAGAAAGGGACGGATCCCTCTAACCCAGAACAGCATTTTAAATTGACATGTGCAAGCCATGGTAAAAGAGCATTGCGGACAAACGGTTGGTGGGCTATCCAGTAGATGAGCATGCCGTACACTTCGTCATAATATGAAACATGGGTTGTCGAAGCTGCTGGCTGTCAGACTCATCCCATCGCAAAGGAAGAATTACGGACTGAAGTAGCCTCTCACTAGCTCATCAGCAGCATCGCAATACTTTACTTGCGTTATTCACGTTTATGATATTGGCCAGTCAAGGCTTCATTCGTGCTCAATTCATTAGATTTTGGTTCATATGCATGAAACCCATGTCTGTGCAACCACTAACTTCGATTTATTTTCGCGATATCCAAGCCCCAAGACCCCCAAGCACCAGAAGACTCTCTGAGTGGCATCAATTGGGTCAATTTTACTTTCCCTTTATTCCCTAGTCACAACAATCCTTGTGTGTATAAGACCATGTCTGTGGGTCCAATCCACGTCGGTATGTACCTTGACCAGAACAATACCTCAATCACTAATTTGCTTCATAGCTTCAAGTTGCTATATTCAGCCCGAGGAAGGTTGTGATTTTGATATGTGGTTTCTGAGTTCAAGGAAGGATTTTATTATAACTATTTTTGTACTTCTGGGCAGAGCTCGATAATAGGTCCAGTCAATATATATTTGTAAAACGAAATCCTTAACTATGCGGAACGATTCATTAAGCTTAAAGAATATCGATATGCCATTTTTTCATTAGTGGAATGTTTCCTTTGTTAAGACCATTTCAACATAAAAGCTCAAAATGCAGTAGACGGAGACTTCGGATAGCCTAACAATCTACCATTACCCTCCAATTTGTGCTGCTCTTTCTTTTCTACTTCTCATTCGCTCTAATTCCACCATATCTACTATTTTTGTACTGCCGCTTAATATGTATCCCAATCCAATACACAGACTAAAAGGAAGGAAAGCCGGATTCTGGACGGAAATTCACTGGTGGTTCATACGCAATGTATAGTTGTTCAGGTCAGGAGCGCGGTGGAAGATCTTCTGGTAGATCTCCGTGAGCATACGGGCATCGGCGCGGATGGTAGGTGATATATTTCCATTTTGGACAAGGAAGCCGATTGTGCGTTTGAGGATACGCTCGAGATCATGTTCAGCGACTAGTTTGCTCAGGCTTGACATGTAGGTCGCGGAGAGAACAAGCATGTTGCCAAATTGCCTATATAACGTGAAAGATCATTAGTATTGCCCTTTAGCGTCCACATTTCTCCAGATTAGTTGGGTCCGCATACGAATGGGCTGTGCCAAAGATATTGGTTACCACCAACCGATGGGTATCTACACAATCAAAAGCCACAGTACTCCGAATTGCAGAATCAATACAGATCTTACAGGCATCCTGTAAATTTTCAGGCAGCGCCCGGAGTTGGACTTCAGCGGCGGTCGATCCGTTAGCGAGTGAGGTGGTTGGTGTTTTGGCCATGTTTAGAGCATAGGTGCCATGCAGAGCGTGGTAGAGGAACGGTCGGTGGATAATATACAGGGCACCGTAGTACGTTGCCCGCATGTGGGCGGCGTTTATTTCATTGGCTGGCTCGTCGGTTTCCTTCCACTGCATACTGTCGGGCAGGGATCTGCGCCAGAGATCCAGGTTTTCGCTCAAAGCTCCTTGGGCGGTATATGACCACAGTGTTTCCCCCTGTTTTTTGATTTTGTAGAGGTCGGTGGGGACTCGATTCAGGATTTTGCGCAGGTGGATTTGAGCGTAGTAGAACATCATGATCATACTTGGGCTTGTACTGAAGTGTTCTGGGCGACTAATTGTGAATTGTCCTTTGGGGAGGTGCATCCGACCTTCTGAATGAGAGATGCCACTGGCTGGAAGATCAAGCCCTGCAAGTAAGTCACTCTCCAACTCTAGACATGCCCAGTATACGGAGCTATGGAGGTCCTTCACTGAGCCCTGGTTGAGACTTTCATACCGCTTTGGTCTTGTCAGCACCTGACAAGCCCTCGAGGCTTGTGAAATCCAACTATGACTCTGAAACGGATGAGCTAGCTGGCCGGCATATAGTCCAGCAAGCAGCCCCGCCTGAACGTGCTCCAGCTCGTTTGCACCCTGCAAGTGGCTCAAAATTCCTGTAGCATATCTGTACAGCGTAATACCGGGGATGTTTTGGTTGTTCATCGTATTCGCATCTTCATTGCGCATTGTGGGCGAGAGTGCACCGTTCGCATAATCTGTCTCGATATGGGCGGGAAGAGGTGATGTGGTGCGCTGGCCGCGGTAGCCGATCTTCCTGTTCATGATAGACCCCGAGAGGGGGAGTAGGAGCTTCGCAAATTGCACCCAGGGCCAGGCATAGCAATACTATGGAACTGTGAATATTTCGATCCACGCGTGGTCGTGGCGAGTTGCAGCAGGTCTCCTTATCCTCGCTGTGTATACCAAGGCTGCGATTGAAGCTCCTCCGTTTCTTCGACGGTGGCTCATCGCGTGCTGGCTGTACACAGTCGGTGACAGAGCCTGGAGAGGAATTGAAGTGGCAGTAAGATTGAATAAACCTATTTACCTTGTTGTCGAGTTCATTCCGATCAAGGAACGGGTGAAGCTTATACATGTTAGAGAGGTAGCTCCCAAAGTAACGTTGAGCTGCGACGCCACCCAGCTTCACGTTACCAAGCATATCAATATCGACGTCTCCGTCAAATCCCACTCTGCACCCATCAGGTCCGTGGCTACAAACGCCGGGATCCAATGGTAAGGGGCTGTTATCCAGAGTGTCCAGCATCTCCCCATGATCATGGGTGCTAAGAAGACCGCGCTCCTCTTCTAACCGTATCACATAATCTTCGTCGTATCTGTCCGATAACAGCTGCTGGATCGAGGGCCACAGCAACAAATTTCGGGCCGCAGTGTGCTGAACGGGAGTCGAAAGCGCATATTCAGCCTCAAGCTTGGAGCCGACGTGAATTGGATTCACAAGGCCAAGATTCTGACCATAATTTGGAACAGCCACACCATGTCCCCTGAAATTCAATAGACTCCTCTCTGTGAGGTGGGTTAATGTCTCGTCTTGTCCTAGGAGAGAGACGATGGTACCAGAATGTTCATGTGTACCCTGAATAGGCTTGTAGGGCTGGTTTGGGTTTCCTTGCGCAGACAACATTTGATTTTGTAGCGCTCGAAATTGGGCTGTAAAGCTGTCCTCCATCTTCGTCAAATGGTCTAACAAAGTTTGAGTAGACCTATTTTCCTTGCGTAGCGACTCCTCTTTATACGAGCATGGCAGATTGCTTTCTCTGCAGTAGCCGCAATTTGGTCGTCCCTCATCACACTTGGCCTTTTTAGCTCGGCATCGATCACAGGCCTATAGCTCTCGATGTCAGCTATATCTTTCTCAGGGCAAACCAGCGAACTAACCTGCGCGGCCCTCGCAGCCTTCGCGGTCCTACGCTGGTGCGGTCCATAGGCCTGGTATTGGCCAATCACCGGGTCAACCATTTGTGGAATGGATGTCATTATGTGCGAATGTAGAACAAAAAGATCCGGTTCTTGTCGGGCATTTGGTTGTATCAACTTTCAGTTAAAACGGTTAGAGAAATTCAAAACAAACGAGCTTGCTTTGCAAACGAACCCGTCTAAAATCGTTCGTTTGTGTTCGATGTAGTAAGATAATGTCGAATAAGAAGTTTGGAACTTTCAGCTAGTGGTTGAATCTGAATGTGCAACACTATCGCAGGCTAATATGCTCGCCCTTGAGTCACCGTAGCGTATTCTTGGACTGCGTAGAGATAACTGATGAGCAAGCTGATTTTCCCCCGTGTATTTAAGAAAAAGGCCGAAAAAAGAAAAACTAAGAGCAAAAACTGACTATCATAATTTACAGAGTTGAATAAGTACGAATCGCACGGAAATAGGTGGCTGAGAGCGAGTGCTCGCAACACCACACTAAAGTATCCACCTCATTTCCAGACTTCTGGTTCCGCTCCATTCCTGCATTAGTTCACTGATCACTCAGCTCCTTGATTAAAGTGCTATTCTTGACCGCATTAAATTTCCACCTCAACATTCAAAACCGCATTCGCAATATGCACGAGGTGCTTTTATTCGATACTAAATCACATTTACTTAATCCATTGGTGGAGTAAATATAATGTCGTCCTCATAACCCACACCTACCCTCATAGCTATCTCCATCTCTAGGGATTAGGTAAAGGGGGGATTGACCGCATATCCCCAGTCCCGCAAGAAATCGGGCGCAGCACAGCTGATAATATGATCCTCGGACACTTAGTACCATTTTAAATTACCGCTAATGCATTCAAGGATTTAATTGTCACATTCCTAGCTTTTCATGATCCGGTGCGGTCTATATATCAGTGAAGAGAGGTTCTAGCCGGGCGATGTGATAGCTGATGGATGATATTGGGGCGGGGGCAAGAGACATTAGTTTTAATTATGGGCTGTGAGTCAATTTCTTCGCAATGTGGTTTCCTTAATTCAACAAGATAACTGGAACCTACTAGGGCATGAAGAGCCCAATTCCCAACCATTTATCAATATAGCTTTCAAAATCCCTCCCACGGATTACTTCGGCTCAAAGCACTCACGAACGGCTCTCAAAGTCATTTTAGGTCGGCAGTTGCAATGTTCCAGAGAAACATGCCTTGTCCCGGTTGGCAAAAGCCTTGGGTCTTCTGCGAAGTGTGCTGATCGATACTGGGTCAGGTTGGACTAGGCCCCTTGGGATACGTAATAGCTTGGTTTAATCACAACAAAGTTATTGGTGGAGACTTTTAATCATGGTAGCCTGTAGTGGCTTTGGGTCTGGATGTTCATTCCTGGGAACCCCGACCATGCAATGCGCTAAAATGAAAATTTCAGACGTGTCAGGCGACTGACGCCAATTGATTGGGCCATAAGCTTTGCTTCAGGGACTAGATCTGAGCGTTGGTACAAAAGACAAGTGCTAGTCTAACTGCGATAGTGCTGCAGTAGCACCAGTCCGGCAACACTAGTTTCTTTAATACTACGTGTGACCCTGATATAACATAAATGAGATTTAAATACCCAATGTCAGTTCTTTTACTCCTTCATCGTTCTTCTGTTGTTTTTGTTCATGGAGGGAATTATGACCACCAAAGACCCGTTCTCCCAACAACCATCAATATCTGGTGACCCGATGGCAATTAGTTCACTCTTGAATGATCAAACATTATCCTCGCACCAGTATCCACGACCTAGCTCACACAAGACGTCCCAGGGCCCTGGAAGTGCCATGTTTCGGGCAGTCAAGTTGTCGGCATCATCCGTCCAGGAAAACGGCACCCATACCAAGAGTCTGAATTTGCAAGATCAAGAGCAGGATTCATTTTCAGATCGACAAGCCCGTTCTTCCAATCCCATCAAATGTGGGATCACCAAGAACGAAACTCCGCCCCGCCACCGCCTGTCTCAGAAAGTATACAATAAAGAAGAAACGCATTTCATTTGGTTCCACCGCGTCATTCTCAGGGATAAATGGCCGGATGTTCTCGAGAAATTCAGCTGTCAATTTCCAAGCCGACCACGCCGTAGCTATGGAGGACTTGAAGGCAGGCTCCGAAGATTTCTCCAGGAAGAAACGTTGTCCTCTTCCCAAAAGAAAAACCAGGGCTGGAAGTATGGGGAAAAGGGTAGGCAAGCCATTTCCTATACGAGTAGCGAGGGTGTTGTTCATATATGCACGTACCCGTGGATGCGGGAAACTGCCGGTCCCCAATCCAAAGTTCAAAGTCATTCTCAAAAGAATTGCCGGTATTAGACTATGTTTGCTTAAAACCCAGGATATACCGTTCAAAAATTCAATAGCCATTGACGTGTTCTATATACAACCATCTTCAGTCAGCCTAAAAAGGAAAAGGATATGGTAATTCATACAAGGTAGATTTTTCATCATCTGACTTACCCATGAACGTACAAAGGTAGCATATCATAAGTGATATACATTTCTGTCACCTGCTGGCTGATCATACCAACTCTAGACACCCAAGAGCAATGTGTAAGTTATGTATTGTTCATCCAATCTAGGTTGAGAAGACGCAGGTTTATTTTCGTTTCTTTTGTTCATTCGGACAAAGGGCCTGGTAATTTCATGCTTTCTTTGTCCAATATCCATCTTTGAACCGTTTCGGCCGCTTGAATTTCAAATACTGAAGGATACTTCTCCATGTAATCCTGCACAATGCTCAACGATTGCAGAACTTGGGTTTTTTCAAGATACTCTGCGAATTAAACAGAGGCTGCTCTCATGGCATTTCGACTCTGACTTAGCTCAAAGAAGCGACTAGGCCATGAAACCCGGGTATCTGATGAATCGAGGGAGCAGTGCACGTTATGGTGATAGGCTGAGCGATCGGCAACAAGAGCTTCGGTAGCACCGTTAGGGAAAAAGGGAAGTCGGGTTTCCAGGATTGCAGGATCGTTCGGTGGTAAGAATGAAAAAGGTGCGACAGAAGATTGTTGACTTCTCGAGAACAGGCCGGAATCCGTGTATTAGCAGACCGGTACGTGACTGAAACTTTATAGTTCTTGAGTCATCCTGGATTTGTGGAAGGGATTTGTGGAAGTATCAATCAATTTGGCAATTCAAACCTCTCGCCCATGGGTCTAGCAAAAGAGACCATGTTGGTATCCATCTCAGGTCGGATTGGCTTTGACTCGACATGTCTCTCTTGTGGCCACCGTTGGCGATTCCAGCACATTTTACCCCTTCGACGACGCGGGGCTTGACCTGCAGTGTGTCACACACAATTCCGTTGTTTTTGGAGCCAGTTTGAATACATTTGACTTCCACTCCCATGGATCTTCTGGAGAGTATTGTGGTGAAGTACATGAGCTTGGATAACTCATACGACCCAAAAAGAACAGATCTCGGGTGCCCATGTTGACACAGAGGAGGCTCCCTTCAATGGATGCGTGAGCTTCGAGTATACTAGTAAAAGGGCTGCTTCAGTATATTTCTCAACCATGAACCGTGTATATGATGGTGGATGAGAATAAAAATGAGGGTTGGACATTGCCGGTGAGTGGTTTATTCCTCCATTATTGGAGATTTGGGGTGGCACCTTTTTCTCGCTCTCGGGCATTGTAGTAGTGAGACCTCTGATCACATGTCCTTCTACGCGAGTATGTGAGCGTTCCTATTGGACGATAATAGTTGGTCCGAGATGGCCGCAACTGGCCTCAATGCCTTGGTCTGAACCTTGACCTATTTTGTGGGTTGCATGAAGCAGGTCTTCGCAGTGGTTGATCCTCGTTATCACGGGCCCACGCACGAATTTTAGAGGTAATGTCGTATTTCCTTTCAGATCGAGCAGGACGGCACGCTTATGAATGGTAATACTTTCATCCTGGGACCCACGACGCATTATTATTGAATTTCAAGAGCACATAAAGTACGAAGCTATACCTAGGCATTACTAGGGGTAATATGTCATAAGGCCGTCAGTCGATACATTCCCGCTCACATTCTGATCTCTAATCATCGTCCTCATTCCCTTAGTGATAAGTTAGAGGAAACCGGTTCCTCAAGCACACTCAACTTTCCTCTATCCAGCCTTCCCTGACTCTACTTTCCAGAATGACATGGCTATAAGGCGGACTTACGGATGCAAAATCCCAAGACAATCCAGATTCAGGTAACATCTCGGTAGTGGTGAACGGGAGTATCCAGGCGCATCCGGCGAAAACTGCTATGGTATCATATTCTCGTGCTTAGTTCCTTGTTGCCTTTTGCTAATGAATCCATAAGGTTCATCCCATACCCATCCAGGTCAATGCCAAGTCAATTTCGCCTTCCATCAAGGAGATTCCTAGGGGTCAGGTACGTTTGGCCACAAAATTCCACTGAGAGACCTTCCATCTCCAAATGACCTGTTGCTGACCTTTATTTGTTTACGCATGACCCACAGCCCGCCCAGGATGAAGAAACCCCAACCAGTCAGCCTCTTTCCGATTCCAACGAACTGAGACACACTCAAGTACCCATAACGCGATTTTTGGATAAGTGAAATAGACATTGACTTGTACCAGGCACCATCGGCTGTCGTGAAAAGAGCAACGGTATCAAACACAAGCCCCAGACGACGTATGCCCTCAAAGACTGCGAATTCGATGGAGAATCCATGTTATCCAACGGAAGTGCAAGATCTACGAGTGAATTACAGTTCTACCGTAATCCTAAGTCCGGTCAAGCTTTTTTTGTCCACGGTGACATGGATATAGATACGTTTTTGAGAGAGTTTTGTGGAAGAGAAAGTGTGCTTAATTAAAAAAAGACAGGAGGTTGCAATATAACATGGGAACTAAGTGAGGGCCGTAAAATGGCTACTGATTTAACTCTCTCCAAATTTCAATCTCACGCAGGAGTAAACGAGTTTCGACGTTCCTTCGGTCAGTGGCTTCAATACTAGCAAAGTGTAGTGCCCCCAGAAGCCGTTTGAACGGAAGTTTCTCTCCGTGGTTTCCACGCAATATATAATAGAGAAAGTCTCCCGGATCGTCAATGGTCAATGGTGATGGGAAACCAGAACATGGCGGTTTCTGTAAATAAGTATTTTGGATTCCACCCAAGATACTTAGATCCAGAACTCCCATCCATGCAGCCAAAATAGCTTCACACGCGACCAGGTTCAATCCTCGGAAGGCAGATCTATAGAAATCCTCCAGGCGAGCTGGGTCGCAACGTTTGAGATTCGACAGTGTTTTTTCCAGGACTGTATTATTTTGAGCCACAAATTGATCAATCAATGAGAAGTCAGGCTCATTAGGAAAGACCTTTTTGCAATGGGTAGAAAACAGCGGGCTCCCCTGGAATACCGTCTGCATCCTGCCAAATGCTGCCCTCTGGCCGTAGAACCCAATGGTGCGATTGACTTGGGCATATTCATATTCCTGAAAACTTATTGCTTCGTCTTGGGAATATAGAACGAAATTCCCTTCCGCCTGGAGCGAGGCCGGCTGTGATTTATTGCAGCTGGCCTGTGGGTACTGAACAGGGAGGTACTGAACAGGGAATCTCTCGGTCATGCTCTCTTATTTTTACTAATTAGCACCATTTATAACCTCATGGATTGACTTTCAAGAATATGGATACAGGCAGTGGTGGGTTGGTGGATTACCTGTTTCGAATGGAGGTTTGATGATACTCGCACTGGGTGGATCTGACCGGGGACTCGGTTCAAGGGCAATGGTGAAAGGTGGGAAATGCAGATTTGGAGGCCAGTGGCCATTGTTGTTTGCCATGATTCTAAAGAATCGAAGTTGAGATGTTTCGGAGGCAGATTGTGAACGAAGAGAGTCGCTCGTACTAGGTCAAAGATCAAGGACGCAGCGCGGATGGGCGGGGGGTTATATACGTTGTGAAGGAGAATGACCCTCCTTCCTTGATTATGAGAGCCTTTCACGCTTCGCCGTGTTGGGTGGGGAAACTTGTTATGCATACCGTCGCTCTGACTGGCTGGCTGGTTCTGGGGCGCTTATTGATTTATGATCCTTATGAGAGTATTGGGGAGAATCCACAAAAAGGCCAGGAGCGCTATTACGAGGAAATATACCCAAGGGGTGAGTAGGATTGGCTGCTAGGACTTCGCCGCAGCGAGTATGGAGCAATCGTGAACTACTAAGTCTGTCTCGATACAAGCGCAGTCAAAAAATGAAAATTACCATTTTATTGAAAGGTATTGTAATATTGACATCCGTGCGCCGAGGTATATTACTCCATTCCAAAATCTTAATATACTAAGAGAGATCCCCCAAGTAGTTTGTCCTCTCGATTGTGCATACACCTGTCCTCCCCCTCTGCATTTATCATAGAAATGGACGGCACCAATATGGTAAGGGTAATTGTGTTCGCTTCTTTTCCCATACTAAGATTGATTATACAGATTCCCGAAGCCGACCTCGAGATATCAGCCCGAATATCATTGACAGCTTTGCAAATTTGGTGGCTGGGTACCCCAGACCTGAAAGACGCAATTAAACAGCATCACAAACTCGATCCTGGGATTGCATCACTAGTGCTGGCCTGTCAACGTCTCAGGAAGAATGGATACAGAAAGGGACGGATCCCTCTAACCCAGAACAGCATTTTAAATCGACATGTGCAAGCCATGGTGGATGACCTCACCGAAGACACGCTCAAAATATTTGGCCTTCTCACCTGTCACTTCAACGAAGATTTTGGAGTGCCTCTCCCCCGTCAGCTTCTTCGATTCTTCGATACCCCCTGGAAGCTTCTCGGCGATGTTTGCATTGGCATCCACCCCAGATACACGACAATGGTCAAATCGGAGTCAATCAAGAGCTTTAAGAGAAAGTTTATCATCCTACTAGGGCTTGTGGAATATTATGTGGTTAGGGGGAAATGGGTTCTGTGTATCTAAACCGTCGGATTGTGCTCTCATCGTTGGAACAATCCATCAGGAGCTAGCTACTCTACTCAACGGATAGCTTTTGCTACCAGATTGAATGAACCAACCAGAATGCTGCTCTGCGTTTGCCGCACCACAAATCACACTATTACCTCAATAATGGCATTCTCCATTCTGCTTCTCCATTACTTGACGTCGTTTGATCCGAATTTTGACACATGTGTTGAAATCACTGTTGATGCGTAAACTGGGCCTGCTTCATACTACCTCTGGTCATGAACGTTCCACAAAAAAGTCATCTTTCTTTCCTTGCATGCCTGGATGCACGGAATTCATATCCTGACACAGAAATAAATGACTGAATCAAGCAAGTACACCCGGGCGGTCCAAGTTGCTGCCTAGGCTGTCTCCAAAAACTTAAAGCATGCAGATGACAAAAGTATCATGCCTCTATACAAAAGCCTCGTTAATGCTGTGAGCACGCTCAAACCCATGTGTCAATCCTTAAATTTCCTGTCAATCGAGTAAAATTCCTTGAGAATTAGGCAATTACAAAGGGCGAAATATCGAGCACAAATCTTCAAGTGAACTTATCCGAGAGACCCTCGGCCGGAAATCAGAAAAAGAGAACTCAATCCTCCACGCTCTAATAACTAGATCAGAGTCGACGACAGGCTGAAACACCTCCAGCATGGCTTTTTCGGCGAGGACAGACCCCTCCGTGTCCCCGGTTATTGCGGTATAGCCGCGCATGTGATAGAATATATCACAACGAACAAGCACTTCTCGTTTGACCGCCAGAGTAATATGAATGAGACGACCCATATCAGTTGCCTTCGGCCACTCATCTTGAAGATGATCATACAACAATTGCCGAAAAAGCTGACCCAATTCACCGTTCATTGCATAGTAGGTCGAATTTTCCATTATGACCAGGTAAATGTAGGCAGGTGAGAATGCGTCGGTTTGAAGTTGACCATATCTCTCTCTGCATGCTGCCAGGATACTGAGGCAAGGCGTCATAGAATGCCCTCTTGGGTCGTTCAAGACTATGGCTTCAGGCCTGTCAGTATCGATGTTGACCGGATGATAAGTCTACTTACTATGAGAGAAAGGTTGAAAGGGAAGTCGGAAGTCCATCGTAGGTGGCTGAAATGGTAGCAATGAAAGGAAGGGACCGAACTGTGCGAGGGACTTGAAGAACCGAAGTTTGGGGAACGTACTGGCATAAATAAGATATCCTTTCTAAGCAATACCCACTCTCGGGCACTTCAAGAATTCCCATGTGCAGGGACCCTGCACCCTGGTACACGAAGTCATTTTTTGGTAATTCATTATATAGGTTTTCATTACCTCACCGTACGCCGCATTTGACGGGTAGCCTCAAAATGGCGCCAAACCCATGCAATGGATAAAATTATCCCTATAAGTGAGATCAGCATGCAGCCATTGTTAGTTCTCAGACACTCAGTCAGTTATCCAATGAAAGGTGCATGTAATCGGACTCCACAATGGCCCTGCTAATCCGCTGCAGGCGAACGCAGATAACACGGTATGAAAGGCCAGAGGCGTTCCCGCTGCGCAATGGCGCTAATTCTACGCCACTTTTCAGTAAGACAGAAATCCCGAGTTTTTGAAAGGCTTTTGTATTTGTATTAGGGGAAGTGGGCCGAAATACTTGTTTTGATAGGCCAGGATGGTCTCGAAGATACTGCTATTAGAACATCCATATCACGTCCGGGAAATACTCTCTCCTTGTTCGTCCGGATTTTGGATCAAGGGTCTCGGGAGTATCTCGAGCATAACATAAATACTCGACCGGTCTACCTTCCCGGAACCATGCTTCAATATTTCAACAGAATCCATTCTGGATACCTGCTACCATGTCGTCGGATGAGGACTTCTGTGTAAGACAATCAACTCTGGGTTTCTCTGCAGTCGTATGTTAATTTATGAAGTTTCCTTTCCCAAGAGCCAGTCTCCAAGCCGCCGAAACGACTTTAATTGCTCAACAAGTGTGGCTTCTGGGAACAAGGGAGGTCAAACGAGCAATAAAGCGGCAGCACAAACCCAATGCTAGAACTGCATCCCTAGTATTCACCTGCCAGGCCCTCAGAAAATATCGCTACTTGCTCTTGGGGAAACGCAGAGCCTTGGCCAAAAACAGACTGCTGAAGGAATATGCGCACCTTATGGCAAGCAAGCTCACTACTCGTGCTTTGGCTATGCTTTCCCTTCTCGCCTGGCATTTTGACTCGAAAATGGTGCCTCTCCCCCGGAGGCTTCTTCTATTCTTCGCCGACCCCGACAAGCAATTTGACACAGTGTGCCGATCTATCTTCCTCAGCTACACGAAAATGTATGGACCGGATATGTTGGCAAACTTCGAGGGAAGATTGAGGAAACTGTTAGGGCTATTAGAAAGGCACGTGATAAAAGGCGACGCGGTCTTGTATACTTAGATTTGACCCTCTGTTGAGACCTTGTCACATCATACTAGTCAATGAGAAATAAAAAGACAGCATATATACAATCACGTGCCTCAACACCAACTTCAATCACTGAATGTTATACCACACCTCCAACTAGCCTTTTGCCACTTCCATTTTCCTTTGCTCTTCTCCTAGTCCACACCTGTCAAAGTTTGTTGTGGGATGAGCGAGTCAAAATGGGAATTGAAAGCTTTCCGTCGGTACCTACATTGCACTGTTAGTTTGTCATCAGTCGATGAGTTCCTCTGCAACACACTACTATGACATGTCTCGCTCAATGAGATCTTAATTTAGATCGTAATCACAGCCAACCACATTGCGTCGATTATTTCTCTCTTTGGGACTTTTTATCATCAGTCTCAGCACATTGGGCTTGCGTTTGTGTGAAAAGACTCACGACAATATTCAAGTACAAACTCAACAGAGAAAACTTTCTCGTAAGTGCGGCGTCCTGGACCCTCTCCCAAGGGAAGCTCACTTTCATTTATCTGGAATCCAATAGCATCCCGGTAGCATCGAAGGAATTCCGGAAAGTCTTTCTTAGTGATCAGACCAAGACCTTTGTGGATATCATCTCTATTCCCTTCGCCTTCACCTCCTTCTCCTTCCATTCGGCAATGACGGTAGCATGCAGTTGGATCTGAAAAGAGCTGAAAGCATCGCGGACAGATATATTTCAAACCCGTCTTCACCAGAGCTTGAATCAATATTGCGAGCCGCCTTTCCACGTCAGACATCTTGAAGCAAAGTGATAAAAGCAACCAGGAAACAGAGGGTTGACTCTTTATAGGCGAGGGCCGGCTCGCCAGCGCATCTTCACATATCCAAATACATTAGCAAATGCTCTTGCCGAATAGAACTAGCGGTGGGGATGCAAGATAGCCCTTCTGCAAGATTTTTGATTAAGATTCTGATACGAAAGCCTTTGGGATGGCACGGCCTCGACCGATTGTGGATTTTGGCTTGTATTTGTTCCATTACAGGTACTAGTTTAAGGCTGCTCTTACAACCTCGCATATCGAATTTCCAAGTTTTTTATTGGCCATATAATTCAAGTTAGCTTCATGATGACACTATCTAAGCTAAGAAGCTGAGCGGTTGTGGGATTGTCTGAAAACGTGGTCTTCAAGCAAGAGCTTGAATTTGGAGGGCTCAGTTGCAGGCCGCGTTCCACTAGGAGATCCCATCCAATGGAAGATCCGATCATCTCCGTCCGTGAAACTCGGTAGTGTTCGAAGCACAGTTTGTTAAGAACATAAGGTGATCCTGCAATCTTCTCCTCACTCCTCCTTTCGTGCTGAATGATGTAATACGTCTCCAGATCTTCGCCATCTTCTGATATGACTTCGTCGAGTATGCGCAACGGACGAGACTTCGAGTCCAGAATTTCGGCAGAAATAGATACAGCGGAAGGGCCAAGATTTATCCTCGAAGGCTGATAGTTCTCTTCTGTATAAATCGTTGATGGATTGCCCGCTCGGTTTTCTTCTGTATCAATCATTAATCGATTGCCCGTTCGATTTACCAAAGGAGCATACAAACCTTGAAGGTTTTCCCGTGACTGTTTCCTTATGACCCCGCAGCATCGAAAGAGCCCGAGGATACCACACCAAAGGGTATTTGATATATCCATATTTCGCACAAGACTTTAGGTATTGAAACAAAAAAGATACAAAACTTCACTGGGAGACTTTAAGAACAGCACGGCCCTCAATTGAAGGATCCGCGATGTCGAGACCGTATAGATATGCAAGATTGTATACCCCTGAATGGCACCAATGTCTCGTATGTTACTCTGATCATCATCATTAGCTACGGTTGTTCAATTCTAGGCTGGCTCCACCATCTTGCTTGTGATATGGGGCCGGGCAGATCAGAATATTGCTTTTTGCGAAGGGAGGTCAAAGCCAAATTTTGAGACAGACTATAAAGCGGATCCTCGAGCAAGAATCTGCCAACGTGAATATCTCAGGCCGCATTACCATTGAGTTCCTGTATAAAACGTAATTGTCTTAAGTTGTTCTGGTTGCGATGCCTTACGATTTAGATTAGCCGCATGGCAAGGAGCTAGGCAGATCAGGAGCAGGTCAAGGTGACGGCCTTTCTAGCTCGATCTAGTACCTAGTTGAGCTGGCCGCTTGCTGGTAATTACGAGACCTCCCAAATTCCCATTTGTCCTCCCATTTTATAGTGTCAAGTGTTGTATTTTGATTAAGTTGCAGTATGAGCCAGGCAGACCAGACAAATTTGCTCCTGTCAAGAAGGGTCTCAAAGCAAAGTTTTGGGACATTACTCTGGCAAATTAGAGCATGATACAAGCGGTTAAGAACAGATTGAAGTTGATCCTCGCGCAAACTATTACGAATCATTCTGCAAGCGCATGCATAATCTAAACCGCCAGGGATTAATCCAGCTGCTAATGACAACCGAGCAGAGGTTATTATGTTCTCATAAAATAGCTGAAGGTAAGGCATAATCGCGTCCCAATATGATTGGCTATGAAGCAATCAAGGGCCTAGTCGTTGTCCTGTGCTGCCCTGTGCTGCACTTTCTATTCCATGGGAATGGGAAGAGAGTGGGAAGGGAGTGGGAAGGGAGTGGGAAGGGAGTGGGAAGGGAGTGGGAAGATAGTGGGAAGGGAGTGGGAAGGGAGTGGGAAGGGAGTGGGAAAGGAGTGGGAAGGGAGTGGGAAGGGAGTGGGAAAGGAGTGGGAAGGGAGTGGGAAGAGAGTGGGAAGGGAGTGGGAAAGGAGTGGGAAGGGAGTGGGAAGATAGTGGGAAGGGAGTGGGAAGGGAGTGGGAAGGGAGTGGGAAGGAAGTGGATGGATTACGTGTGGTTGTGGCACAGAGATCCGGAAAAATAGCCACGAAGTGGCTGAGTTTAAGGTGGGAAAGACAGTGGGGTTGGGCAAGACCTTTTTTCGACGCCTAACACTCTCTCAAGCCTATCGACCTCCTGTCATTTAGATGATGTTGTCCACTCGTGGCCTTCCGCAAGACGTTAACAAGAAAATCACTACCATCGGTAATTCTCTCATCCAACCTTTCCTGGCCCGGGGCCTTTCTTAAACGTTCCTAGAACCCCGCAAATAATCTCGATCGACTGACACTGTGCCAACCGAACAAAGAAAACTCGATTACCACACGATATACTAGGGATGACAGCAACGGTAACAAGGGATACTTTGGTATGTACGGCGTGTTTTGCATGTTTCAAGCTAGTCTAATTCCACGCAGCGCAGTCAATGGAAGACCCTCACCGTCGATTCGAGTTTTTTTGATGATTGTTACCAACATCCTGCCAATTATGTCTTAAAGGAAAAATACGAGAGAACCCTCTATTGCTTTGAATGCACAAATATTGATTTTCAGGATGAAAAAGGGAAGACAATCTGGTCTACAGAAGGATCAGGCGAAATGGATCCTCTCCCGGCAAACGTTCAGGTCTTCATTGTGAATGGGAAGACAAGGGTGAAAGATAAGAACGGAGGATAAGTTGTTTTGTACAGCCGGATATATAGTTCAGCCATATAAACTGTTCGCCATCAAAGTGCTCATGAAAAAACCAATTCTCAAGCAGATAACTCCATGCTGAGGCTGTGATCGCCACAATTTCATAGTAACGCAGTCCGTGGTTTCGAGTAGTAGAGCCTGTTTCTCCCAATATCTAAGCTGGCTATTCGTGATGGCGGTGCTGACTCGCTGGCTGAAGACCGAGGAGATAGCCAAATTAGAAGCACCGTGCAATGTAAAATATGCATTATCTTTTCGGTTATCAGCTAATGATTGTTCCGAGCGCCGGACTGGTGTACGTGTACTTACCATATTCATTCAGTGGGCCAGAAATTTTTGAAAGACCTGCATCAGCCTGCAAACAACTACTTTGCGGGGTATCCAGACGATGGGTCGAGAGGGCCGAGGAGACTTTCTGTCTTGCTTGAGGAAATAAATCACTAGCAAGCTCGAAAGCCCCCCAACGTCGAGGTGAACAATGGCATCTTCATTATCCGCACGCGGTATTTTTGTCCAGACGCTCTCGGTTGTTGTGCGCTCGGGATTCAGATCATTCTCTTTAATGCGTGTGGAAGAGCTTTTAACGGCCTCATAGATTCGGTCACCGAAAAAGTTGCGTATCGATGTCAGCTCCGCCAAATAATATGCATAGTGGTCTTGAGTTTCAGCTCCAGTAATCGGTCGCGGCGTTGGGGGAGGGAAGAGGATGCGCATCAACTTCTTAAACGGGAGGCTCTCGTCAATGTCTTTTCGTCGGGCAGTCTGTTCAAGAAAAGTCTTTGTCTCCTCATCAAAACGAATCTCATGTCGCTCAGTATGGGTTTCGCAGAATTTCAAAACATCGAAAGATTCACAAATCCTTGGTGAAATATCCATAATAAATGGGATGAAGATGTGTGGGTCATCCTCGAGAACTTTGGAATATGCTTTTTGTGCTTTGCTCTCCTGGTACTTTGACCTCAGATCCCGAGGCCCTCGCCCTCCTTTTCTGCGCCGCCTATGATCTGTGTGGCGCTTGCAGGTTATGACTAAGCGCTCCGCTATTATTTCGTAATCGTCGACGGGAACAGTTCCACATTCCCTTAGATCATCCCGCGTGCGGTAAATAGTAGACATATGATAGGCTTTCATGGCTGGAGGATCAGCCGCAGAGTTTAATAATGCAAAAATAGTCAAAAGAATAGGAAGAGAATAGGAAGACAATGGGAAGACAATGGGAAGACAATGGGAAGACAATGGGAAGACAATGGGAAGACAATGGGAAGAAAATGGGAAGAGGGTGGGAAGAGAATAGAAGACAATGGGAAGACAATGGGAAGAAAATGGGAAGAGGGTGGGAAGAGAATGGGAAGAGAATAGGAAGAAAATGGGAAGAAAATGGGAAGAGGGTGGGAAGAGGGTGGGAGAGTAACCACCACGCTAGCGCACGTCTTATTCATACATACGGAAACCATACCATACAGGATGCTTGTCCGTTGGTTTGCAGTCCCCGACGGACGTGGGCCTCGAAAACGCTTTGGCCTTTGCTTCATTCCATCGATAACCTTGAATGACGTGTCCTGGGTGCTATATCTCGCACATTTAGGAGCATTGTTCGCGCTGCAGCATGCAAAATGTCACAGTTGAGTTGAGATAAGTCCAATCACGCACTCTATTTACCTGCAGCTTGCTGACGGCTTGGGGGTCAATCACCCAAACATTGGGGGCCTTAATGCTATATAAAAGCTGCTTGCCTCTTGTCTGATTCTTCCTGGAACCATCAGCTTTCAAACATTCATACCTTGACGACATCCTACCTACCATACATCGCTTTTTGGGATTTTACCCTAATCTCACCTTTCAAGACACGATGCAATCAATCACTGAAGGGCCTGTGGACAGTTGCCACTTCAAAACTGAAAAGCCAAGTGGAAGAAGGGTCAAACTTGACGATTGCATGCAAACTGATTGCATCAGTTCTACAAATTATATTCCGCCAAAATGAGTAAGTACCTCCTGAGAGCTTGAAGAAACCACACTGATGACTATCACAAAGCAAGAAGTGCTAGACTGAGGCGCACAAAGATGGAGATCTATCCTGAATGGAATCAGAAAATTGCTTGGCTCCTCGACCATATCAAACAACTCAGGGAAGCGGTTTTTCTTTTTTTGGTTCAGCAAATTTGAAAGGATGTTCGCATGGATCCTACGTTGTCTTTTTCATTTTGGCCCTGTGAAACCTCTGTCTATATGCGCGTAAATCCATTTTCCTTGAGCCCTCACTAGTAAGCGGTATTCAACCTACCGTAACTTTACTTGTCTTATGCTGGTCACACAGTACTACTTGATATACACAAACTTAGATACTCGTCAAAGTTTAGCCACATATTCTTTTACTGTAGCCTCCTCGCCCGGATTGGGGACGTGGGTAACCTTGAAACACAGTAGAACATCTACTTCTTCCCGTACTCGCATTTGAAAGAAAGGCCTCGGCTATAGTTCAAAATCGCCTGCAACAGACCAGACGAAAAGAACAGACATCTGTAGTTTCACTTTTGCTCTACCACGCTTGAAACCAACTGGAAGTTTTGATACTCTGATCCTATCTTGATACAGATTAGCGCGCCCAGGGATGATGGTTCGAAAAGTAGTAACAGCACAGAAATCAAATCTACCTAGAAAGTACTAGGCATCAAATTGGAATTCTCGTGAACTAGTACCAAGCCAGATGCGAATCTCCTCTAAAGCAGTTAGGTCATTCTCGAAAAGAGAATGCTGTACCTTCTCATCGTACCATTCGTAAGTACGGCCGACATCTTCTAGGCTCTCTCCTAACCTCCGGCAAGAACCAAAATCGATGATGATTGCCCGATGGTTCTCAATCATTATGTTGCTTGGGTTGATGTCGTTATGAACCAACCCAAGCGAATGAAGATGTCTGATCCCACTCTCGATTCCCGTGAGAACACCACTATAGTCCTCCGTCGCTTGCCGCGTGCTTCTCAGTTTTCTCTTCATGAGGCCGCGTGGGTTGACCTTTTTCATCAGCGTGTGAGGGTATCTCTCGAGGCAAAGACCCGTGATTGTGCCGTCAGAAATCTGACAACCGAGATATGTAGCGATGTTGGGATGTGGGTGCCGCTTTAAGAGTTCGTAAATTCTTGCTTCCTTGAGGAGGTCCTCAGCAATCGAATCAGGTCGAGGTCCTTGACTGATTCGATCGTAACTGATCAATTGAGGTTTTTTGACAAAGTAATTGTTGGGCAGGGTTTGAGGCGCTGGCGTGAAGTCGACAGAAAATTTTGGGTTGTAGGCCGAGCTAGGGATTTGGATAATATTTTCAAAATCCTCTGCGTTGACATTCCAAGGGGAAGAGTAACGAGCTTTCAGCATCGCGTGGTACAAATACCCCTTCATCTGATACACGACGAGAGTACCTGCGAATTGGAAGCCTTCATCTGAGTCTTCGTAAACCTCGTTTCTCTCCAGCACCTCAAGTTGCTGGTTAGGATTTGGTTGAGTCGACATCGCTCGAGTGCACTTTGCCGTGTCAATCGTTGAGACACCAAAGGGCAGATATACACTCACCTAGTACGCGTGCAGGGAGGAAGGCCAATTAGACTTTGAAGCGGCGGAGGTGGAAAGGTAGAAGCAAAACCGGGCGCTCCTTTAGAAGGTGAATAAAACCATAAAACGGTAAGGACTACCGGTTACCTAAAGGATCGCCTCAGCGTGCTGTGTTGGCCCGGTAACTTCTTTCAGGGAAAGACTGTACAATGGTGGTATATTACAGAAATATTTCCGTTTCAGTAACCTCAACAATTACGAGCCTTACAAATATTGTGGCTGATCTGTCTCGCAATGGTGGCTGTGCAGATTTGATCAGAAGAGCCGTATTTACCTTACGGGCAGAAATATTGAGCTTGTGTATCAAATACGAGACCAAAATCGCCACAACCAAGCTAGTTCTCAAAATGGTGCTGCTATTAGACCACGGTTAAGTATTCAAATTGGTCTGCGCTTGCGATTGCAATTTTCACAGGTTCAATAATATAAGGTTAAACGGGGTTTTAGGGTAGAACTGGGTTGCTGGAGGCGGCATGGGGTCAGGCCTTGACCGCTAGTCCAGAAATATGCGTTAGTGGACCTGTCATACGTACTCCAACCAGCAGAAATCTAGCATTCCCAAGTCATATCTAGAAATGTTGATGGTAAGCTGCTTGAGTATCTATCAGGCGTAAGTCTAGGGTTCCAATACGGAGCTGGGAGGCTGGGTAGCAATGGGGGAGGGGGGGCTTTTGTTGTCGTCTTAAATCCCAATAGATTGAAAACCAGGAGACCGTGCCTTCGCCCCAATCGATGCATATTCCCTAGCTCACTCAAGCCTTGACAGGAGAGTTGCTTGGTCAGACAGGTTGGAGCCAGCGGGCAAAAGGATGCCTATAAAGTCAGGATGGAATAATAAACGAGGACCTGCACGCACGACTCTCTCCATAACCGTAATATGGCCGAGAATATACTGCCATATCATATACCTGCTCAATGGCGAGGGGAAAACGAATCCTTCCATTTCCATTCGCATCCGTACCATCTTTCCACTCTCTCTTTTGGATCGACAGAAGCGGCGCTGCAAGTCCGAGCACTTCTGAGCGCCCGTGCCAGTACTGTACAGGCCTCCTATCAAGTGGCCAAGCTCATCAGCCTTAGGGCTCATGCTTTTGAGCCTGTTGGCGAACTCATAGTGTGGGAGGGGCCATCGTTGGTATGTCTCAGTCGACTGAAGCACAAGAAACTTGAACGTGTCCCTGCATCTGGGAGAAGAAGACACAGAGTATGCGCAAGTAGAAGTGAGTTTTAGTAGGTGGGATCAGACCGGTGGGTTCAACCACGGATCTTTCTCCTCTCAAATCTCAAGGAATCCAGTCAGCCACAGGACCCCTGCGTAGTCTTTCGGGAACTACATCCCTTTCATAAGAATGGAGCCCACTTACATCTGTCATTTGGGCCTTCGGAACTTGTCGCAAACTCAGAGTCCAAGCACCAAGCATATGTAAGACACGTCCTAGCAATCAGTGGCTTAAATAGTTCCGTCGGTATTGCGAACTGCCTTATTTCGGTGGCATTCAGCAGTGCTGGACTTCAAAATTGTCAACTGCCTCACGCTATAGCATGCAATCCCCCTTTAATCTTGGATCCCCCCAACGTTGAAAGGCGTCTGCTTCCACGTCTGGCTTTGGGATAACTTCCCATTGTAAGCAAGCTTTCCTTGTCATCTGCGGCATCGGAAGAATCTGCATTATGATGTCACATTAGGCTTTGTCCGAACGGAATAATTGGGTAGGGACAAACTTGCCGACGGTTTGGAAACTTATGAACAGTCTGAGTTAGTCCTTAAGGACAGCTTGGGGTTGAGATAACTGGCTGCGTTCGAATCTAGCCCATTTCGTAGCCAACGGATTCCAGACAAAAGTCCTTCCAGAACATTTCGAGATTTGATTGTTGTATTCAAATGGCCTGACCTTCGGCCTCATGAGTGATGCGCTGGAGTGCCAGCCGCCTGTCCTCAATTATATGTTGCCACTTGTTTGTTTCAACAACTGCCAGCAATATTTCATTTTCTATGGCCAATGCTGCGCTTCTCTCCTCATTGGAGATAATTTCTAAGGTGAAGAAAAACAGCATGTCTAGTGCAGTGAATCAGTCAGCCGAATGCTTCAATGTTGGGAGCTCCGAACTTTATATACGACGTAGATAGTTCTATCCTCGTATATGTGGCATTTTCGAACGTGTGCAACCGCTCTGTCAATAGTCGCACTTTTATTTTTCCCAAAGAAATCAAGACGATCTTAGTCCGGTTCGTGCATAGTTATGTTGGCCGAGTGTTCAGTTCATTCTCTAAGAGTGTCCTGGAATCTAATACCTGCATCTCCGTTGCTCCGGATTGCCAACTGAAGATGATGTTGGACTTGATGACTGAGCCTGCTAGGTTCCGATTGACCCAATGCTGATGACAGTCTCCCTGAAGTAGTGTCAACGAAAGACAATATATGGCACAGTCTTGTTATTAAAGCCTCGGTTATCCTTTTGGTAGCTTTGAGGTTTTCCAGAAGGGCACAGATGCTCCGCTGCGAGCTTTT